TTGACAACATCTATCAAAACTAAGATGAAAGATAACAAAACTTTGCTATAAGAGAACTGCAATTCAAGAGATTTTATATTTGATATTCTATCTTTGTTTATAGTTTTTATATATTTGTAAAGCTAAAAAAATAGAGAATCAATAGCCATTATTTTTTGACTTACTAGATGAGACATTACAATTATTACAACCTTCAAGAGAATGTAATTGAAATAAAGACCTTCAAGAACAATTTGTTCTTCAAATAAATGGTAAGATACAATGTGTTTGATATTATGACCTTGGGAATAGGAACAACTTTTGATGGTGTTACAAATATTTTGTTTAAACAAAGTCATAAAGGCTTCAATAATGATTAAATAATGGGATGGTCTTCTTGCCATGGAATGGAACATTATTGATAGCTAAAAGAACCTATCAACTACCTTCAAAGAAAACAAAGATTAAAATATGTGATAAATATAATTTGTTGCATCTTAGACTTTCTCATCATGTAATCATTGCTCTTCATGGAAGTCGTTTTTAGAAGGAGAGGTAATGTCATGGATATACATATTTATTGCAATTATTATTTAGATATTATGAATAAATAAAAATAAGTTAATTTGATAATATCTTATAAGAAGCTTCTTAGAAGCTTTATAGACACAATTTCTTTTTTATACATATCTATAGGTGATTTGTAGGTTAGAAACTTAACCAAAAAATTAACCACATATTACACGTGTTGGTAGATTGAGATACAAGCTAACAATGTGGCGTATATATAGGAAACTTATATTGTAAGTTAAGACACATGTCTTGCAAATTAGAAACATGTCAAAGGTCTTATAGAACGTTACTACATAGCTTTTAGTTAGATAGTATATATGGAGGGAAGAGTGAAGCTTTCTTCATTCTTGTCAATACCTTTTTAGTCTTTAGTCTTATTTCAAGACTTTCTAGACTTTTTGTCTTTGGTAATAGATATTTTAGTTTCAATATTATATTAGTTTTGAATGAATATCTATTCTTTTTGAATGACATCAATATTATATTAGTTTTGAATGAATATTTATTCTTTTTGAATGACATCAAAAAATATTGAATTTTATTTGTTTTAAATTTATATTCTTAAGACTTTTTTGGCATTAAACTATGCAATAAGAATGTTATTAAAAATTGATAGCAAGGTAGAGATAAATTTTGATAGAATCATACATTTAAGGATTTCACTATCTAAGTCTTTGAATAATAATACCATTGTTTTGATGTTTTGAATATAAAAGCTTATATCATTGAAATAAGACATTTTATAATCATAAAACTTTTCTTACAACTACATTATATTTTCTATGATATACTAAAGATAAACCGAAGAAAAATTATTTCACATATTTTTGGCATTTTTATAGCTTTTTAATTTTGAAATAATTTAGAAGATATATCCAAATTAATAAGCATTCTTGCATTGATGTTTTTTTGCTTCTATTTATTGATGCATTATTATAAATCATTGTTAGCATATGCATTAAGTGCAAATATTAGTTTTCTTTTAAGTTAAGTCACTATGTTGAAAATCTTTTTTGATTGGTATATAATTTTTATATGATATTTTCAAATAGAAAAATATTTGCCATCAAAAAATTTAAATATTTAATTTTTTTTCCATTATGTTTGTAAATATCCAAAAAATAAAGAAGAATAAAAATAATATTTAATAAGTATCAATAAATATAATTATAAGTGAAAGAAAAGAGATTGAAAAAGAATCAATAGAAAATTTATAATACGAATATTTCCAATAATTAACAAAGAATTAAAAAAGAGTTATAAAAAAATTCAAGGAATTAATAAATAATTTAAAAAATTAATTGAAGTAATTATTATGGAGTTAAATACAAAAAAAAACTTCAAATAAGTTGCAAAAATTAATATGAAATTGAAACTAATGAATAAGTGCTTGTATATAAGAATCAAAAAAATGTATCAACACTTTTTAATTCTTGTTGATAAAGAATGTTATAACAAAGTTTTAAAATGATTTCAAGCATATATATATATATATATATATATATATGATTTAAGGCGGAAATATTATAGAAGTTCATAACATGTTGAATTTCATCAATTCATTACAAGTCAATATAAATAATCACTATATATGTACATTGTATAAATTTGTGCAAAAGCATTTTAAAATCTTTCATTCAATTTGAATTTAAGATGCTATAAATATTATCATATTATTTTATATTTTTAAGAAATATTCAATAAAAGACTCTTCTATTTGTAATGCTAAATTTATTTATATATAATCATTTGATGGTTGATTTTGATGAAGAAAATAAAAAGAATACATTTATTCAATAAATAAATATTTGTAGTACTTAATAAGATAAAATACATGCTGTCTTTAATAATAGTCTCACCATCTTATATTGAGTTTGAAATATAAGGTCTTCATGCAAAAAAAATATTTAAAAGGCCAAATGATAAAAGCAACTAAGGTTGATTATTATGATTTGCACAATTTCTAAGACAATTCTTCTTGGATTTTTTTTCTACTTTAGCTATTTTTGTTTTCTACTTAGGCTTCTTTTTACGCTAGGATTTTTTTTTTTTTTTTTTTTTTTTTTTGATAATTCTTGCTATGGCCTAATTTATCATACCTCCAATAATTCATAGTCTTTTTATGTTGAGTTTTCATGAAGTTACTCATCTCAATAGTAGTCTTTTTTGGCCTAAAAATATGTGTTATCAAAGCAACCATGTCAGTAGTATTATAATAACAAAGAGCCTTGTTACATTTTCCAATTTCAACAAATCCTTGTGATAATATTGTCTTACTATTGTATTTGAGAAAAAATCTTAATATTGTGAATTTCAAAAGTTTCTTGTCAATTTTAAACAAAAGATCTTGATAAATTGACTCTTATCAAATATATCCTCTGATTCCATTGCAAACTATGTCATCTATATATATATATATATATATATATATATATATAATACATAATATGTCTTCTTTTTTACGTTAGAAGTCTTGAATAAATTGCATTTGATTACACCAATAGCATCCATACTCACTTTTTAAATGTTTAATAGATATTTGAAGTAGTCTAAAAGATAGTGACTCTTCTATTGCAAACAAAGCCACCATCATAACTTGAGCCATTTGTGATAAAGTAAGTCGGGTGCTATTCTCTAAAAGCACTTCTAATGCTATAATCTTTTCTATAGTATCTTCAAAGGATTTTCTACCTTCTACTTTTAGTAGATATCTTTTCTTTAAGGTAGGATTAAATTAGAAATAATATCCTAATTAAGAGCAAATATAAATTCTATTATGACTACTTAATAGTGTCTTTTTTTATGCAATTAAAATAAGTACTTTTCATTACATCTTTTATATGTCTAGAGTGGCTTATACTCCAAATGTTGTAGCATTAGCTCAAATATATAGCACTCATTAAAAATAGAAGATTGTTAATATTTTTCTTTGAACTAAGTTTGAAATCCTAGCTTTTAATTTAGCAAGGAAATACCCTCAATTTTTCCTAAGAAACAATCCTTCATCATATTATAGGGATTGACTTCTATCTTATTAAATGTATCCATGTTCCAACCCCAAAGTCTCTTAATAGTATCCATTATTGAAATATGCTAAGAAACCTTATTAATATCCACCACTAGCTCAAAATCTTGAATGTGGTCATTATTCAAGTAGGCTAGTGAAGGAGATCTATAATATTGACACTTCATATGCACCATAAAATGACCACTTGGATACCTTCAACTATCTAAAGGCTTAAAGATATTATCTAAAGACTTAAGACCACTAAATATTTTATATCTTGTTTTAAAAAAATACTAATTTATATATATATATATATATATATATCAAGCAATATGATCATCTTTGTAATACCAATTAAAATTAAACCCACATCTAATAAGCTTACAACAAAGATTTGTAGGCTACTTGGCTTAATCATTATGAAGAGACATCTATATACTTCCACATTCTGATACTTGATTATGTAGATTATATTAATAAAAAGATTAAAAAAATGCTTAGTATTACAATTAAATTTAATAGCATAAAAAATCAAAACCAAAAGAAGAAAAAAATGGTATGATATTATATCAATGCAAAGATAATAATTTTGTATTTTATATTATTTCTTTATTTTCCTCATTTTTTCTCCCTAACAAAGCAAGGGCTTAGATGCTATCTGGTAAATATTAAAAAAATAAAGTAGCCAAAACTGATGTACATATTTTCAAAATGTGTGATACAAATTTTCATAGTTTACTGATACTTAATCAAGTCCATTGTAAGTTAAAGGGTGCATTTCATTAATAATATATAACTTCAAAACATTTTAAATTAAGTCATTTGATACCCCTCCGTAATTTTATTATTACAGAGAGAAATCGAAAGTACTTTTGCCACATAAGTTGTGAAAACCCAAACCAAATTTTGCAGAGCACATGCATCTTCACCGTCCAGAGCTTTCATCCGACATGTTCTTAAGGACTGCAAGTGTTCCGATTAAAATTCTCACCAGGTGAGGACCTCGATTTGCGGACCTCTGATTCGATCCGACGTGTCACATTCCTCAAGATATTTGCCACGGTTCCAACCCCTCGGAAACCTTAAGCATCCGCCACCTCATCGTCCTTCCCTCATGTTTATACCCGGATTGATAACCTGAAATATTCATCCATCCATTATACATTCATCCATTCTGCATTAGTCTCAGCCAAGAGATCGTCTCGGCGAATCCCAAACACGAAGTCTGGCCGCCACGTAGTGGCCACTACTTTATCTGCAGAACGGAATTGACCTCCAAATAGGTCGTCCGGGGAAAGGGAGTGGGAGAGATCCAATGACGATTTCGGGTCCTAATAAACGAATTTATAATTTTCCCAATTTCGATAATTCTAGAAAATTCCACACGATATTCGCTCATCCGAGGAGCTGCTTCTCATGCCCGGCCCAGCTTCAAGAGCAGCGCTCTATCCACTTCTCCCTCTTTTGCCTTGGCGCTTGAAGTGCGTTGCAGACGATTTCTGACGCAGCCAGCTTCTGCTAGAGAGCCAAGTTAGGATCACTACTACTTCCCTGTCTGTACCTTGAGAGAAACGGGTTTGAGCTTGTGAGGGAGGAAGGCCAAGCAGTCGAAGGACGCCATGGCTGCCATGGCTTCGTTGGCGTCGAGGGGGATGGCTTACACTCCGGCTGTGAAGGTGAACAGAGACGGAGGGATGGTGGAGGAAAGTCTTTTGAGTTTTTCAAACGGGTTTCAAACACGGAGCAATTCCGAGTTTCAGTGCAAGCTAGTGGCGGTGGTAGGGAAGGAGAGGCGGAGATTGGCAGGGGTTTGGAGTTTTGTGCGGGGGTTTAGTGGGCCGGGAGGGGAGGAAAATGTCGACTGCTTTCCGTCCAGCAAGGATGTGCCGAACATCTCTATCAGGTCGCATGCTGCAGAGATGAAGAAGGGATACGGAGCTTTTGGTGGGGGTGGTGCGACGTTGGAAAAGTCGAAGCTAGACTTTTCCCAGTCCACGGCTAGGGTTAAACAGGAGGTATGAAGGAGTGGGATTCGTGCCATCGTAGTCGCTTGGGATTGAGTTTCGGTGTTTCCTGGATTTTGTAGCGGTAGTTGTAGCATAATTTTGAAGAGATTGTAGCTAGATTATGGAATAATTTTGAGGTTTTGGATTGCAAATAATCTTATCCTTTCGCTTAAATGTGATCTAGGTTCTGCGTTTGGTAATTTGCGTAGGTCTAAGTTGGTCAAGGTGGTTGGAATGGCAACGTTTGGGTGTGCAGGTGGAACTTGGTGGTGGTGGTGGAGGTATTGGAAATAAGAATTTTAATGGGGGTGGTGATGGAGGTGACGATGATGGCGACGATGATGACTACTTCGGTGAGGATGATGGCGATGACGATGGTGACAACAAGGGATTGTTCGGAAGGCGTGTGGTAGTTCCTGAGGTGCGTTTTTATGGACCTATAGGATAACGTTTGAAACTGTGTAAGGTTCTCCTTGTACATTGCTGGATCTGCGCGTAGCCTTATTTGCGTTGTGGGTTGTGTACAGATGTTCGATCGAAAATATGTGGAAGCAATCTTACAAGAGTGGTTCAGGACGATCAGTGATTTGCCTGCAGGAATTCGACAGGCTGTCGAACTGGTGTGTTGAGTGTTTCTACGTTTCCATCTTACTCGTTTTAGGATGTTGATAGATGTCTTTGTATTGTCGAACTCATTATCAGTAATGTGCAAGGTTTCAAGTCGTGATTACTGCAGAGCATGAAGTTTAGGACGATCTCGCTGTGATGAATTCAGTTTTTTCTTTTCAGATGGATTAGTTTATGACATATGTAATCTGCAACTGAAGCTCAATCTTGTTCAACGTATGTCAACGGAGAAAGTTTCCCCCCTAGTTTGCACAGCGAAGTAACGGTTTCTTCTACTTCTTTGAAACAGGGTTTGATCAGCTCAGCCCAGATGGTCAGATTCTTGTCAGTTAATGCTAGGCCGACTATTACTAGGAAGCTGTCGAGGGCGGTCCCTCAGCCAATTTCAAGGGCCATTATTGGACGGTATGTTCTGGGTGCTTTAAATTTTTTCGGTTCTGTTGACCTTAAATTCAAAAATACTGAATTAGCATAGCTGGACATAGATGTCGTTATTAAATCATTTCCACTTTACCTGCCTTTAGGTCAATGCGCAGTTAACTTTTGTTGATGCGTCTTCGTCGCTGTCATTGGAGTCGTTTATAATGTGTCCCTTGACACGTTGTCCTTGTCTGCAAACGAACAGCATTCTTGCGGATCCTGGTTTCTTGTACAAGTTAGCGTTTGACGAGATTGTGACGGTTGGTAATGCTGTGTGGTGGGAGTATCAACATAGAGGAGAAAGGTAAGCATCTGGCTGCGAACGGTGCTGTTGGTATTGTTCCTGTTTTAAGAGAGTAGATTGTTCTGGCTGAGCCTCTGATCTTATTGAACAGATCTTGTTGAACCCTCGTATACGGTAGCGTGTGTCATCAAGGGCTTTGCATTGATTGAAGTGGTTCATGTTAACAGGATAAGGAAAGAGTGGGACGTTGCTGCAGTGAATGTGTTGACTCTAGTCGCCAGCACAGCAGCCATGAACTGGGCGTTAGCCCCTAGCCGATCTTATGGTTCAACATTTAAATACGAGTTCCAAAATTCTCTTCAAAAGCTCCCAAACCACGTCTTCGACAAGAGCTATCCACTTCGAGAATTTGATATGTCAAAGCGAGTATTTAGTTTCTTCTACAAAGCAGCACAGCTTAGCCTGGTTGGCATGGTAACCGGGGCTGCCGGGGCAGGCCTATCCAGAGTAATGCCTTCATCTAAAAAGAAAGAGTATGTAACTACCTGTGCTTTTGTATCTTGTATACGAAGATTCTGATATTGAGTTGTTCAGTTCATTTATGGTCTACGGTGACAGTATTTTGGATAAGGTTGCCTCGGAATTGCGAGACTGATGGTGAAAGTTGTGTTTGTTCAACAGATTGTCGGTGTCGATCCCTTCAGTCAGCACTAGTGCATCAAGTTATGGTGCATTTATGGGGTTATCGGGCAACTTAAGGTATCAGCTGCTCTTTGGTGCGGAAAGGCTTATGCAGGACCATTTCCAACATTTGGGGGTTGTCATATTCTTTTCGGCAGCTCTCAGGTATGTCTCACGGTGTTATTGTCAGTGAAAGCGTCTTCTGTGTGGAACCTTTCAGTAGTAATTTCCAATCAATTTTCTTCGTGGTAATGAAGGCTAGATCAATCACTCAATTAGAGAAAGTAGAGTTAATGGGTTCAGTGGATAGGCTGAGAATTTCTGTGGGGGTTGTCATGCATGCTGCAGTTGAATTGTAATAGTATGCCCTGATAAGAGGAATTGATCTCGGCTTGTTGGTGCAGGGCTTTGAATGTCCAGATTGGAGACGTAACTAGACTAGCGTTTTTGGGACAAGGGGAATTACCTGTTGTTCATGCCGATGGAACTCTTTCTCAGGCATATCGTCGACCTTCATTAACTTCGGAGTCGCTAACTGGGTGGATAATACCTACCAAGGGTCTTATCACAGGCCTCTTGGATGGCTCAAAGGTACAGAATAAAACTGGCGCTCAACGGCAAACTCCTAATGTCTTCGCAAAGAGAAAAGTGAAGCGCAAAGTAACTGCTGGAAGTAGGTAATTTCCAGTGATTTACACGCGGGAATTAGTTTAGTTGAAGATCGAGAAGATAATGACCACTTGAGCCATCCCACAGGAGTGCGCACTCCTCATACTTGCAGATCAAGATCTTGAAGTGGTCTTCTGACTGGGCTATGAAAGCATCTCTGTTGGAAACTTATGACGAACATGTGCCCTGCAGTCTGATTCCATTAAACATTGTTGTTAGATTGAGTTGGCCAGTCAGACATTGAACCAGATTGTAGGACCTAGATCTATGTCGACAGCCGTTTCCGCCGGTGTCCTCTTCCAAAGATTCATGTATAAATCTTGGAATACCACCTGCAAAGCATGATGTTACATGAGGATGAGCAACTGGTTTTCCATGCGGACACTACTCAGATTATCTAACACAAAACATTTGTGTTGTGTAGCAATACCACACTTGATTTCGGATCATAACCTGAATTATTACATGGAGCAATTGTTTCTTGTTCACTCCAAGAGTAGTGTTGCCCGTAACATCTTGTTTCAGTATTTTCAAAGTGAGCTCCTGGTGACATTTCTCGTGGTGGAGAATTTGCAGCATCTGTCTTGTGGAAAGTATTGCGGTTGCAGCCTCTTAGTGTCTTGTAAGTTTAAGGCAGGTTGTTTCTATTAAGGATCAAGTCACATGTCAGTGATGTGGCAAATTCTCAATATGTGCAATAGTAACGAACAGTTGAAAGGTCGGGAACAACGTACAAGTCGAATCCGAAATTCGTTTTTCTGTAACGGGTATCGTGGGTAAACTAACCCTTAAAAGATTTTCTTGTGATTTCCTTCCACGTCACTGTCAGCTTTCTCTTGTAAGAGTTCCTTTTTCAATGCACAAGTATTCATGCTTGTGTGGCAAGATTGCATATTTCATCATTGGTACCCTGTCTTGTCACACTAACAAATTAAAGGGATTTTTTTTACAATGCAGCCAATGCTCGTTAGATATGCCACAAATGGTATTTGTTTCTATCCCGAAGTCTGGTATATAAGATAAGACAAGCTTTCTGCTAAATAACCCTGTGGCTCCTCAAAGACAATAAGTTCTGAAGTCTGAATTATATGATGCTTAAAATTGTTCTACGTACAGGTACCCAACGATAAGTAAAATCACTGACCAGTGGTTTGTTCAAAGCTCCACAAAACGTTCAATCTAGTACATCAACATGAAAATGAGCAAGCCGAGCATCTTCGTTCACTCTCATCTTCCAGATAAAACATTGTTTAAGCAAGGGAACTGTTCCTCTGGATCATCAGAACAAGGTTTCAATTCTTGTACCCTCGGTTATGCTCACCACACTTCCGGCACTCCACTCCGACTAGAGAAGTCCAACTCCAGAAATAACGAAATAGCTAATTTTCTTACTTAACCAAGATTCTACTTTTTTTTCCTTTCCGACAGGAACTGTGGCTCTGATAATCATGGGATTGGACGTGGTCCCAAAATCCAACTTGGAAACCCACCTACTACTACTACAAAAGGATTGAGTAGACACAATGTACAAGATATAGTGGATTGCGGAGTGGAGACATACAAGCAGACACGGTCAAGCAGCAATCATCCGGCCCCACGATAAAGACCAGCCAACAAATACTGGGGACGCCACCTCCACTTACTCACTCTCGCTTTCTCTTTCTCTTGACAAGGTAAGATGGATGGTGGAGCGAGGGCTGTGCACCACGAGAGGAAAAGGAAACCTGATGAGAGACTCAAAAGGCAAGTGCGGTGGGGACATTAGGAGCCACAATAATGAGAGAGAGAGAGAGAGAGAGCGAGCTGGAGCGAGGTGGGGGATGATTGCGAGGAGGGCATCTCAGTGGAAAGCGGTAGCACTGGGACAGGGCAGGAGGAGGAGGAGGAGGATCCCACAACTCTAGCATCGTGGGAAAGGGGAATGAGAAGGAAGGAAGGGCCCCATGAGAGCCATGACTGCCTGCCTGCCTGCCAACTTTGGCATCACTCACACACTCACTCACTCACTCCATTCAATGCCAGCCAGCATCATTTCTCATTGAGACCCTTGTGGGGTTGCTGTTGTATTCTTTCATTCATCAACTTGCCTCCCCCTCTCTCTACTCCTTCACTGTGATAGTAAACTATTTTTGATTTATTTATTTATTTTCATTATTATCATTATTGTTTTCAAATGTGCTTTGTCACTTTTAATTTGGGTTCCACCACCAACAATATGTATTATTTGGCAGAAATCTCCTCCTAAATGAAAAACTTACCACTAAAACACTCATCATGAATGTATGTGTATATATATATATATATATATGAACATTCAATTCAGGTTTGGTTTTGGCTCTTTGCATTACCAAGTGCAAGTTCTACAATGTAACTTTTTTCCTCTTGCAACATTATTTCCTCCTTATTAGTAATTACATTCTGCCTACATGTGTCATTAGAGGCAAACTGCAAAGCCTTACAAGTGCCCTTAAGAATGCAATCACAACAGTTATTACTTCTAGAACTCGTACCATCCCATAAACCAACTGTCGCAGGCATTGCAATCCGATTGCACCGATTCGGATTTTCATCAGATTTACAACAAGTCATGATTTGGTGAAACATTGGCATAAAAAAAAATAAACAAATAATTGTAACGGTGTGCACAAAAGTAGATGCCCATGGCAAAGTCGGTGTCCATTTCGACGGATTAGAGGAGAATTATGAGCCAACAACATCTGAATGCATGCCAATTATAGGACGCGATGCGCACATAAGTTGCGAAGCAACCATCGGCAAGTGGACTTGACATGGTTAGACTCGTTCATGTGCGCACCAGGCAAAGTTACGATGCAGCTGGTTAAACTCCGAGCTGGATTCGCTTCACTCCGCCAATTAGCTCCTGCGGATGACACTGGAGCAGAATCTTGCGCTGTCGATGTCAGAGCGAGCGGGTTTGGGTGTTGCCAAGCATTGGCCGATACTCATGTCGCGAGTGTTTCATGTGTAGGAATTCTGGAATTTAGGTGGAGATAATCATGGAATCTGTCGTGGTTGACAGAATGGATGTTGTTGACGGAAGATTTGGCTGGTTGAGATTGCAGACAACCCCATCCAGGCGTAGCTGGTATCAGGCTTCTCTGTACGCAAGGTTGTGGATCAGCGATCACAGAAAGGCCAGGACCTGGTTGATGAGCTTCACATGGTTTAGTAGTTCCCTGAAGGTGAGTTAGTGCGGAAATTCTGGAGGCTGTCGCGAAGCCCGATGAAGATAATTGGGTGATGGCGTCGTTTTGACATGACTTGTGTCGGTGAGACGCGTCGTGGTGACATTACACCATGTTTTGTACAGAGGATGCCATTCTGGCTTTGGTTCGCGCGTATACTTGGTGCGTGATTATTGAAATACCTGTTTCTGAACAACCACATGGTGTATCAGTGCGGGTGTGAGCAAGAATGAGGGAGAAAGAGAGAGAAAAATTCGGAGTGCTCTTTCAGGAAAGTAGTACTCAGAGATCTTCGTCTAGGACTGTATTTGCTGGAGTGGTCAGTCAACAAGGTGTTTACCAGCCGACAGCTGAGAGGTTGCGTGAGCGAGTAATTTCCCTGGCCTGCTTCCGTGCCGAGTGTGTGTATAACTGGGACGCACCACGATTGATCCAGCGATGAGCGAAATGTGTGATATGAAATCTTGTTTGTTGCAGTGGACTGTGCAGTTGCTTGTTCTGGAAGTGCTTGATGAAGGGAAGTCACGGGGTCGGAAATATTGGTTTGAGTGGTAACGTAGAAAATCCTCACACCAAAGCATGTGTTGTGTGCCTGACTGTGGATAAGATACTTGGAGCCGAGGCTATACTGTATTCGGTTACTTTGGATTCGAAAATCGGAACTCCGCATCGTGACGTGCTACGTGATTGCTCAATTTTTTAAGAAATCGCAAACAAGCTCCGTTTACTCTGACCAAGTTCCCTCGTCTCTCTGAATTGAAATGAATGGATTAGTGGCTAATGAATCACCCCACACTGTATTAATCACTTTACTCTTGACCTCACAGTGACACAGGCAGAGAATAGGAAGGATGTTGAAGAGAAGTTTGTGATAATTAAGCAAATTCACAGTACTAATCGTTATCTGTAACCCAGGTATTCAATATGAGCGATCCACTCATGCTGCAATTCAGGAATAGGACAACAAGCAACACACTGCTAAGGAAGAAAACGAGTGCTCTTGAACGTATTTTGGTGATAGTTAGAGACTAAGTAAGGGTATTATGCGAAATCGTCTCCCATCGCTATCGCTCAGAAGGGATTTCAATCATTTTGGAAAGAGGACCACCTATTTTTATTCAGATGGCTTTGAAACAAACTCTAAAGAAGCAGGAGTCGAGAGGGTGTGGAAGTGGGAACTTGTGGAGGAGGATTAATAATAGCTATGCCTTCAGAATTTCGGTGCTTGCTGCTTGTGGCGTGGGAGTACTCCTGTTGTGCTTCACTTATGTAGACCTAAAGCCATTTTGCGACAAAATTGGCAAGGAGCCTGTCGTGTTCCAGAAGGATCCAGGTATCGATACACTGGCCACCTACGGTTTGGAAGAGGACTCCAGCTTGCGAGCGGCAACCCCGCCGGAAATGAATGTTGACTCAGGTGATGGTGGTGCGCCAGAAGTGGAAGCCGATGGTTCATCTGAGAAAGTTAGGAAAACTGCGAAAGCTTTTGCGGTGAAGGAAAACGGTACTGAATCATCCGTGATCGTAGGAGAAGCACATGTCTCTGGACTCGACAATGATTGGGTCAAATCTGATGCTCGGGTTTCGGAGGACAAGGACTCTCGAAATGAAGCTTTGGCCGGACCAGGTGTTACAGAGACCAGAGGCAGAGATCGCAGGGCTTTAGCTGGTTGTGACATCGCCCACGGTAAATGGGTATATGACGAAACATATCCATTGTACAGGTCTAGAAATTGCCCTTTCGTAGATCCTGGATTTCGGTGTGAGGAAAACGGTCGACCCGACACTGACTACATGAAATACCGGTGGCAACCGAATGACTGTGATTTGCCAAGGTTTGTAACTGCAATTACTGGATTCTTCACCTAAACTCTTTGTAGAAATACAGGTGCAAGACAATGGATCGAAGTTATAGAGTGTCCTGGTTTGTGTTTGACGGTCAGCGCTCGCCAAATTGACACATGCATTTTGTTCAAAGCAGTAAAATTTCTGGTGATATTAATTACTCGAGATGCCTCGAGACTAAATGTAATATTCTCAAGCACGTCTGCAAGGAATGGCTGTGAGGAATTGTGGTTCTTGAGATGAGATCACGTGTAGAAGCAGCCAGCATCTCCTACTTTCATTTTTGCTTGGTCATTTCTCTTTCCCTTTTAGTAGATTGGTTTTTGTAAACTTGCACAATTGTCCCAGAATGTTTTTGTACATGTATATGTGAGAGCTTGCTCGAGCTCGCCTGCTAAACTTAGAACGCTGATTGGTGGACTGATTTTGCCAGCTTCGACTCCCAGGACATGTTGGAAAAGTTGCGGGATCAACGACTCGTCTTTGTGGGGGATTCATTGGGGCGAAACCAATGGGAGTCCATGTTGTGCATGCTTGCGGAAGGCGTGCAAAACAAATCACGAATTTACGAGATTAATGGCCACCCCATAAGTAAGCACGTTGGTGAGCTGGTCTTCCGATTCCAAGACTACAATTGTACTGTGGAGTATTACAGGGACCCTTTTCTTGTTCCACAAACACGTCCTCCTCCGAATGCTCCAGATAATGTGACAAACGTACTTCACATTGACCAAGTCTCATGGACTGCCAACATGTGGCCAGGCGCCAGCATCTTGGTATTCAATTCAGGTCACTGGTGGTCATGGGAGAAGATAGGGCGCCAGTAAGACTCCTCTAACTAATTTCACTTGTTTGTGCGTTGACTGGTTTGCTTTACATTGTAATGGTGCCTCATTCCTTTCCTTCGTCATCGGGAAAGACGAAACACTTTTCGTAAAAGATTGATGTGATTAAATAACTATCATTGTAGGGGTGGCGCGTTTCAAATTGGAAGTAATGTTACTAGCCACGGCTTTGAAGAAGCGTTCAAAATCGCGTTAGAAACTTGGGCATTGTGGATAGAAAGCAATCTAGATCCCATGAAAACCCAAGTATTTTTTCGAAGTTTTGCATCAGTCCATTTCAGGTGCGTAAGGCCAAGGTTGGTTTAGGAGACTGTTGGGATCTGTTGAGGCATTCATGTTCAATCCTAGAAGTGTGCAGTGCAGTTCTTAATTAATCAAGGCAACTAGTCTGAATCCTATGGCGTAATGTTCACCATGGTGACCAGGAGAAGAGTCATTACTCAAGAGTAGAACAAGATTGGGTAGGCTATACTAGTGCTTGATCTTCTCACCACAGCATTACACAAACGGCATGAGGTGATGTCCGTTTTTCTTTTTCAGAGGAGGATCATGGAACACGGGAGGTCAGTGTCACGAAGAGGTCAAGCCACTGAGCGACGAAGAGGTACAGAAAATGCAGCCTGTACCTTGGACCAATAAGTACATTGAGCAAACTATAAAAGAGAACATTAAGACGAAGAAGGGTGTTGTCGAGTTCATGGATGTCACAACGTCCACAGACTACAGGTCGGATGGACACTCAGGATTGTATGCAAACGATGTCTTAGTGATGGGACCTACTCCAATGAATCGTCAAGATTGCAGCCATTTCTGCTTGCCCGGAGTTCCTGACACATGGAACGAACTTTTATATGCAACTTTGCTCGCCAGGGGTCAAGGTGTTTGGGGAGCACCTGAGAGGTAATTCTTTTTTCATCCCGAACGATGTAGAGATTGTTCGTGGAAAGCAAAGAATAATCTAGCAGCTGAAGAAGCGAACATCTCAAGAATACTTGAGTCTTTGTACCTTGAATCAGTTTTCTTTAGAAGTTCTCCCCCCTGCTTATTGATTGCACTAAGTTGAGCACAAGCACTTATCAACTGTCTAGGTTACTGGTAGTATTGATGCAACATGAGAGCCATGTGGGACCATTTAGTGTATTCTTTCGATTCGGTTAAGAATTGATGAGGAAGGCAACATTCCATGCGATATTTTTCGGCGTAATGCAAGCAGTATGTATCAACCTCTACAAGTTTGCTAAGAGTGTAGCCACAAGGCTTGTGTGTATATATGTGTGTCGGTTTACATTATATATATATATATATATATATATAAACACATTGGAAGAGGAGATTGCACTCTGTTCGAAGCTCTGATAAACAGCTTCTAATAGGAATTTCCTCTTGCGCACATAAAGCTAGCTCAAGCCTGAGTTTCTCTATTTCCTCTGAAAGATAGTCTTTAAGAAGACGTGAACGTACTCTTTATTGTATACTCTTACATGCTCTTCGTAGTGCTCATTCAACTGTACCCCGTGTGATGAACCTGTGACAAGTCATTGAGAAGATGCACTCATTGACATGACCACAGGGTCTCGCCAGAAACTTGGCAAACGCTAAGCGCTTAAGCTTCTGCAACCATGTTAACTGAGTAAAATGGCCTCATATTTTTGCAGTCCAGATTACCACCAGGATTCACATTCAGACGATTGCAAAAATCTTTGTAATAATTCACTCGGGCATCTGCCTGGGCGCTGTATTTGTTGCACTCCAAGCCTCCGTTAATAACGTCTATGGTGACGCCGAAACCGGGTACGCGGTTCGCAGCTTGGTCGGCGCTGGAGGGTCTCCAATTCCCGATCATGACATCATGAATGTGAGGGATAACAGTGTCTCCATAAATCATCCAAAACCACAGGCTCGTTTTGAAAGCGATGAGGTTATTTGTTGCCACCAGATTGGGTTTGTTGATGAGATCGACACCCAAGTACGAGCCTGCTGCGAGGTAATTGTAGTTCCTGCAAACACAGCATAAATTGACCTTGAATATTCTGAAACAGCAGACATTACGTGGCATAAACCTGAAGGGAGCTTTGCAGCCTCACCAGGAAAGTTGGAGAGGACCGCGACCATTGTATTGGCCGTTGCAAGGAATATCTGGGCGCCAGCTTGCACAATAATTGTCTCCGGTTTGCTCCGTGATTTTGGTGAGTCCTAAAACAGAAACAAGTTAACATGCAGCATTAACGAGTGGTTCGAAAGGGTCGGGCGTAAAATTAGGCACTTCACCAATTTGAATCTTAAGTGAAACTTGGAGGAGACAAGGCGAACAGACAGACCTCCAGTTTCGTGCTTGACATGCGCCGCGTAAGCAGCGATCTCTCTCTTACGAGTGTCGGTGTCGCCCGTCGTGCCAAACTGAGGGAATGATTTCGCAGCCTCAATGAGCACGTCGTAAGAGTAGAAGGAGAGATGGCCGGGGAAGAAATTCTCGAAAACGCTTCTAGTTAGGATGGCGTCCAGGCCGGAGCCAGAGGGAGGTGAAGGGCCTGGAGGAGTAGGGCCATAACACGGCCCGCCCTGGCAACCCTCCCCACAATAGTCGTTGCCAACCCCGCAGTACCCCCAGTTGCTGCAACAGTGCGCCAAATTTGGACATGGCGAGTTTCGGCTGCATTCCCCCTGCGCCTCCGCAATCAGAGCACCACCATTGCTTAGTACAAGTGCCACTAGGGCAAACATGAAAATGCTTCTCGCCACTGCAGTCGCCATCGCCACGATGTGCACACGCGCAGAGAACTCTCTACCAGACCGCGACTAGTCAACCCAAGAGGAGCTATGGATCGCTGTCAAAGCCCAGTAGAGATCGCCCACGTTTATACACAGCAACAGCACCCAACTCCGGCATATTCCACTGGAAACTGTGCAAGTTCGATGGCGCCCAAGTGATCGATTTCGATGACACTCTCAACTAGGCATGTGTCGGATATTGCTACGAAAGCATGGCGCAATCTGGGCACAGAAGTCAGAGCCACGCCTATCTCCCCGCCAGCTCTTGCGGATACGGGAATGGTGCAGTTTTGGAGGTACAAACCTTGGGTTTGAAAATAGAATGGTAGATGTGGGGCCTCGGATTTTCTGCAAAAAAATTTGTCATTGAAATTGGCTTAATTTTCCTTGATTCCACGCACTCCATCTGGCATCATCTTCCCCATTCCTATTTATTATTCTGTCATGGTGTCTGCATTTGCTCTCAGCTCGGCGAGGTTGGTTCCTTACTCTGTCGGAACCTGCTCTTGAACAGATGATGCCCATTCCTCAGTCCTTGTTCCTTCAAACCTGAGTCGTCACACGAAAAAAGATAAGTCACTTGGCTGCTTTTGGGTGCACTTTTATTGCATTCTATTCTCAGGGGATACTCTGCATGGCGTGGATAACTTCTCTGGAGAACAAAAGAAAACATTCTTGAAAACGCAAATCATTTCTTGGAATCAGTATTGTCTTAATGCAGGCTCCATGGAGTAGAGTTTATACTTTTCTTTTTCTTTTTTCTTTTTGAGTTGGGAGGTTACCTCCAGAGTTTGTTTGAAATTTGAAGTTCCTCAAAGTCTTCTCCGTGGAGTGCGTGATCTCAGTTTGTATTAAAGAAAGGTGCTGCAAGTCTAAGTGTGCTTTAGGATAGTGCTAGAAACAATGTGGAAACAGTTATTCAATGAATGGGAGGCAACTTTTTATTTCTCATCAAGTTGGGAGTTTTTCTTTCTCCAATCTTTTACAAATATGTCTTTGTTTTATATCAATCAAATCAATGTAGATTTTTAATTTCTATTAAATTGTATTTTATGCTACAATCTTATCTATTGAAAATTTAATGAGGTAGGAAAAAAGCTTATCTATTTTATTTATTTATTTATTTTGTAGCCAAAAGAGGAGTAGATGTTTGCACATAGATGGAAGTTTGTTCGATTTTGTTTGTATGTACTATGAAGGTAGTGACATTATTAAATGTGAAGGGTATTTAATCAAAACTTAAGGTAGAAATCCAAATGCATAACTATATACAATAATATATAGAAGGATACTGGAGTTAAAGGTTTGTTTTAATATCAAAGCAAGATATTTCAATATTGCTAGTTTTTCATTTGAGTGGGACAGTTCTTGAATGTGAGTTGAAGGTTTACAAGTTTACTTGAATGGGACAAATAACATAAAATACAAGTTTTAAGATTTGTAATTTAGAATCAATTAATTCCAGTAATTTGATCTAAAAAACAAAAAACAAAGCAAAATTTTCGCTTGTGTAAAATAGTGGTATTACTAGATTACAAGTTAATTTTTCTTTAAATGATATCTTTACGATGGATCATGTTTATAATTTAAATAAATAAATAATTTTTTTTTTATATATCCCTCTTAAAAAATAAATGTCTTTTTTAAAAAATATCATGATTTTTTTGTGGTCTACATTAGTCCATACTCTAATTAAGGATGAACAGTGTGCACATCAACATAAAAATTTAACTATGAAGATCTTTCTACTTAGGAGAGAAGGTAAAAGGTTAAAACTTTTTAGGAGAGAATCTTGGTAAAGTTTTTGAATGATAGCCTTTCAAAGTGGGCTTTCTATGTATAAAGACCCCTCATTTCATAATGCTTTTTTCTGCATTTTGGAGACTCCTCTGCTGCTGCTTGAAGCTGGACATATTCCTATCAAGGATACGGTATCAGAACACTGTTTGCATGATGTAATAATCATGATTGCATGATCAAGGATACGGTATCAAAACACTTACTCGTGATTATAAAAACTTGTTGCACATCACAGTCGCGTGGGGTGAAATCAATTATTAAACGTGTGAAAACCACACGTGAAGCACTGAATCTACTCAGATATCTCAAGATCTCGTATGTCGGTATTCATGTGGATAAGGAGTCAGGTCATTAGCTAGAATTCACAAACTAAGCTGAATGGGAAACAATTTCTAAGTCCAGAACCAAGCTACAATCCGACTCACACAGCTTATTGCACTCCTGCATTTGCTAGCAGTTGTGAAAGCATACACAGGATTGCTAATCTCCGTTTATATTTGCGGGAAGATAGACGTGGAGAAGTCCAGCAGCAGGTCCTTCAACTGGGTATTCTCCTTGATGATAGACTCTCATATCGACGATCATTGCTGCTAGCCCAGTCCACTCGTCATATAGGAATGCCGCTTCGGCAACGGCGGAATTCTTGTTTTACATGAGGGTTCATGCAGCTCTGATGAGGGTGGACGTCACTGTTGCCTGAATGGTCGCCCTTTGCCTCACGCTTGGCTGCAAAACACCGATTGCAACATCTTTGTAAGAAGCTGAATATCAGAACAGGGAAACTTGGACACACAAAGAATCTCTCACTTAGGATGTGTAGTTTTCTAATTACACTGTACACACCGCACGATAGCTACAAGTCCCATCCACCAGGCGCTGAGTTGATGAAAACAATGTGGCACTTGCAAGATAAGTGTGCTCCTCCGCTTGAACCTCCAAGTTGCAGCGTTCCAGCTCAGAGCCGCGAAGCTCTGAAATAAATCCAGTCCTGCGAATACCTGGCAGGGTACTAATATAAGCTACATTCTACCAATCTTAAGTAGCCAGGATCTCTAATCCACACCAGGATCGCTAATTAATCCTTAAACGGTTCTTCAGACAAGTCTCTGATCTGCTCGAGCCGGTTGATCCGACTCATCCACACTGAGTGCAGGATCATGTGGAACACATCATACTTCTCCGGCTTCTTATGCCAAACAAAGTGCTGCCGAATCTTCCGCAGCCTAATTTGCATGCTCCGGTAGGTCTTCTCAGGGATATCATTCAAAATGGCTTTCAGCTTGGGAATGTCACTCTCGGGCATGGTCACGGAGAACGCATCCCAGTTGAGGACATCACTGAAGGGAAGCACAAAGTTATCGGCGATGATCACAGGAACACAGTCGTAGTGGATCGATTCCACAATCCGTGGGCTGTTGACCTCGTACCCCGCTGCACAGATACAATACTTGCTCATTTTCATGTGCTGGACATACGAGATTTGCTTCGCAATAGGTTTGGGAAGCACTCCGTAAATCATCAGGTCAGGGTCTTTGTCTTTCCAATGGTCTAGGAGGATGGGCCTCACGCGGCCGTGCATCTGGCCAGCGAAGAAAGCTAAGTACGGTCGCTCATCGTAACCTGGACCGCCGAGCTTAATCGGTGCTTTTGTTTTGGATTTGTGCATGTAGACTTCGGGTAGTGATGCATCTTTGCCGACTACGAACTCCTCCGTTAAGTCTGCGTTGCACACTACTTTCACGGCGTTGCTTCTGAGTGTGGGATGGTCTCGCGCGGTTGCTGGTCCCTGGTACAAAACCCTAGCCCAGATTCAGTCCACGCCAGGACTAGGCAAAAGCAAAAAAAATAATTAGAAATGACGATCCGAATAATTATCGAGAGCAATCTATCTTGAAATTGAAGCTGGATGAAATACCCAGTCGTGACAGGAGACAAAGAAATGGTCAGCCCCCTTGGTCCGATTCCAATACGGATATTGCCGGGCAAGGGCTTCGACATAGTCCTTGATGAAAGTGGCGAGTGGTAACATGGACCGAGAGTTCGGCACGTAGAGATGGGTCACCATGCGATAGACGCTGTATGGCAAGAAAAACATGTGCGCCCGCGATGGATCGTCCGTAAGAAATTCGCTGGCCGCCTCCATACGCTCAATGAACTGCCCCTCCGATGCATAGATTCCGAGTTGGGGCCCTGAGTGCACCAGCGGCTTGCGGCCATCTTTATAGATGTATACCTTGAACACCTTCTCCATGAGTTCATAGCTCCTGAGCAGATTCACAAGTGCACTCCGTGTGAGGATGTTCCCTCGTGTGCCATAATTTCTCTTTCTCCACATCCATGATGATGAGCAGTGGAATCTTCGAGGTTAGGACATTACTTCCAATCGCAAAGTGTGAAATCAATGAGAGGCTTACTTGGAAAACGCCGTCACGTTTTTGTAAAGAGAGCTGTCCAAACTTGGATCAGCAGTCTCGAGTGTGGCGCCCTCTATTGCCTTCTTGCAAGTCTGCAGTTCGTCAAATATTGGGTTAAATTTCGACACCTGTGCACATAAGAACGAGAGCTTATCAGATTTTACGGATGATTCCGCAGGCAGATGTCGACTCTATGATTTGTGGGGGTTTCGAGTTTAAAATGTATACAGTACCTTGGGGACTGGGGAGGCCTGTGGAGGCCAAGACGCGATCATTAACTGCTGTTTGTTTTCTTCATGACTTGTTTCTGTTTCCACTGGTATCCGTCCCACATTTGCGTCTCCTAAGCTTTCAAACCTTCGAGGCTGCATGACGTCAACCGCTTCGTCCCCACCCACGGGTATAGCACCTTTGGAATCCGACTCTGCATTCGGGACAGTCAATTCGCTGCGATTGTGATCCAAGTCCATGCGATCCGCCACCTCTGCCATATTTTCACTTGAATTGATTGAATTGATAACACCCTTCACAATCTGGACGGCCTCCGTCTCAACCGCGACCACCTGCCTCTCCGTGGCCGCTTCCGCAACTACTGACTCCACCATGGTTCCATTGTTTAGAATCTCAGAGCTTACTTGTCGATTTGACGTTTCAGGAACTAGCAAGTCAGTCCCATTGTTGTTGAATTCCTTCCCAGTCTCTGAGACTTCGGATTCAACTGCCGTGAACATCTGCGACTCATTACCAGCGTGCAGGAAATTCTCGCTGAAATCCTGCCTCTTGTTGGAGCTCAGCGATTGTGCCTGAGTAGAGACATTTTCAGTCTCGGATATCATTTCTGGTGACGATGGGGTAAGATTTTTTTGATGACGCCCTTTTGTGGGCGTTAAGGCATCCAATTTGGAGAGAACAGGCTCGGCCTGGCGAGAAATGAGGGATGAGTGCAGCAGCGAGTAGGCAGGCCCCTTGGTGGTGCAAATGTGCTGGAGGAGCACTATTGCCGAGACGGCTATCACCACAGATGTCAGGAAAGTGGGATGCGCTCTCTCACCCAGACATCGTCTTGGACGCGCCATGATATCCCTACTCGGCTCGTGATGGAGGTTTTCACCAAAATTCGTAGTCCGTCGTCTATCTCTCCATCACGCATTCGACTGGCTCATTCGTGGCACAGTCCTGCTGTAGAGAGATTGAATCGTGCGCCAATAGGCAGCATCCCCATGAAACGGTGGTGAAGTTCTCGTCTGAAGAATAATATTGACAGCAACGGGTCAGTCAAAAAGGACCGGGGTAATCAAAGTGCTCAGAGAATGAAAAAATCGTGAGAAGCTGGACAACATCTGCGAGGAGCACGATATTCTTCTGACAATTATCGGTACTCAAAATCGTGATGGGATTAGAATGCTAATTGCCCTTGAATGCCCCAGGTTCGGCGCAAAAGTTAATGCGAACTTAGACGACATGTTCAGGGCAATCCAAAACTTCCGCGACAATGCCAAGAAACCTCTCAAACCAACACTTGACCTGTACAAAACTTCAACAAAGACATTGAGAGTGGCAGACCACCTTTGGGAACAGTTACATATTAACCGAAGCGCCAATGAATCTCAATCGACGTTTCAACGCCCTTACATTACGCGTTATCGATCCAGAGGTCAATTACACTGTGTTCCTTATTTTGAAACTTCAGTTTCTACAGTGTTACGTTTGCACCAAGAACCTGTGTAATCAAAGACGAGTCAATGGGAGGCCTGAAAGCTCGAAGTCCTGAAAGTATGCATACAATTACCTTCACGTTCACATCCTCACAGTTCTCATAGCTAAAAGTTTCCAAATCAGTTCATCCCGGCTACCCAGCATTCACTCCCCAGCATGCTCGCTCACACCCAATTCAATATGACTCCTCAAAAGCTTGCGGCCCAAGTGATCCAAACACTTACAATCACCTTTAGATTATTAGCCTCTACATTAAAATCCTCACAAGCAAAGATGGTGATGCAAGATTTGGAAAAAGCATCGAGAGCGAGGGATAAGGTGGGGTAGCATAACAAGAGCATGGGGAGCTTTTGGCTCATAAGAAGCAAGACTTGCAATTTCTTGGCCTCGCCCAAATTTCAACTGCCCAGCATTCCTGCGGTGAGACCTGGTCCGCGCATGCTCTTCCTATGATTCTCGAAACTCGGTCTAGTAACGTCAAATTTATCATACAAAAGCTTTTCAGTAATTCTTAACTGACACGTACTCCCGAATCCAGAGCAGGTGTGAAGTCCCAGAATGATGAAGTAATTCCCAAAGTGGAGAATTCGACGTTTAGTGTGGTTTCATGCTCTGTTTTATTACAATTTTTAGCACGTTCTTGGTAACGTCACCACCCTGTTTCTGAGCACCGCTTGAACACACTTGATCGAGAACCTACTATTGCGTATATGAATTAACTGCTCGTGCATGTGATCTTTTCATTGCCCACTGAATGGGTAAGTCACTTACAGTTGGAATGTCCATTGAAGCATTTTTCTTACTTTTCTTCTTCTACGCCGTTCATGTGCACTTCACCCTATATCCAGCCACCTAGTAGCAGTTTTAAGCAGAGATTGGATATTTCACAATTTCACACCGAATTTACTATATTAACCTACTAAATAGATCCAGCAGTCACACCATGTAGCTGCTATTTTAATCAAGCTAGCGATTCAAGTGATTCACTGAACCTTTATCTTATTATTACCATGCGTCTTTGATTGCATGTTAATAGACAATTACTTCGAACAATCAATCCGCTGCGACTGTTTTCGAAAGGAATCTTTGCCAGAAAGGAAGACACCTACACATGCACTTTTAGATTCAGTGATGGAGGCACATTTCATCTCTTAAATGTGCTGTGAGAGAACCTAAACCCAAACCCAAACTTATGAATTGAGTGAACTGTTTTATTAGTGGAGAGGCTTCGAGCATATATGAGCGCAGCATAGTGACAGCACCGCTCCTGACAATACACGAGTCCAACTCTATTAGACGATTCGGGGTTAATTGAACTTTTTGTTTCTTTGTAGGGTGCAGCAAATACTCTTGCGAAATCTACCAGGGATCTGTTTCAGGGCCTGGCTGGCCAAATTCGGAAAGAAAGGAGATGCACCTCGATTTACACTTCAACTTCGATGCTTCTTTTGGAGCTCTGACAACGAAATACATATATGATTTTGAAAATTGTGAATTCAGAAGCAACTTCATGCTATGCTTTATTTGGATTTTGTCAACTGTAATGGTCAGAGTTGCACTCTTCACCATCGTTGTAGAGTACAAGCATGAAACGCTGTCGATTCTCGATTGTTCAGTATTACATGAGATAACTTGCTATACTGGAGTGAAGAGCAACGGAGTATTTCTGCCGAGAAAACCAACTCTTTTAGTTTCACTGTAAATAAAATTAAAAAAAACGGTTTTGCGCTACTCTCCGTCCTCACGTGTTTCCTCGTGTTCGCAGCTGCAGATTTCCTCCCCTAGCTATCGCTGAACAATACCCAGGTAGTACGTATAAACGAGATGGGGTACCCAAAGAAGATATTTCTTGACAAAGGGTGAATCAAGCCACCACATTTTTGTCACCTAGGGCTGCACACATCTTGTTCATCAGTCCAAAAATTGCACTGCTTTGAATGACACTAGGCTCTTGTGTATCGGCGGTGACGGAAGTGCATCATGTCCTGGCCAACTTGACCAAGCAATTATTCCATGCAGTTGGTCTAGTTCCCACTCAACCTAAGTTTTATAACCAACCTAAGCTTGTAGAATGGGATGTCTTAACCCACCTTTCCTCGTGACTTCTTTGAGGCTTAACTGCACACCTACGAGTCTGTCTTTCATCTTGTCTCAAGTATTCCGTCATGCACCCAATCTGCAACCAGAAAACAGCCCACACTGGGACTCGAGTAGCCAGGATAATTCCGATGAACCGAGGCTTCTAAACAATGTGAACATGCTTTACTAATACTCAGATTGACGTGCTGGTTCCGATGGCCAGAAGACAGGCAGCGATAAGTGTGCAACGTTTCACTTATCAGAACACTGGTTGTAATATTACCAGATCTGGATCAGGCTATCTTCGTAACAAGTCGGCCACATTCAGTCCTGAAAATTGAAAGCTTCTGCGAAAAGCTCAATCGGGGACCGCATCTATTATTCAGCACATGAACATGCCTCCTGTGCGTATATTCTCTACTTTCATTTCGTTTCTGGCAAATCAAAGCTGTTTACATCTGAGTATAACTATTAACTGATTTGAAAAGACTGATCTGCTCTCTTCATTCATTCTCATCTGTCGGTAAACTTGGTTTAGTTTAAGCGTTTTCACTTCTGAAGTGCTTTAGGGTCTTAGGAGTGGAAATATATTAACCATCATCTCCATCATCAGAATGAAAAAAGATATATGTGCTAAACAATACATTGTTGGGATGCATATCTATGCAATATTTTGAAGTGTGGCAAGAAGAGAATTGGAAGAAGTGTGGCAAGAAGAGAATATTTTGAAGATGCCAAAAGATAAAGATAATTAAGAGGTGGTTGAATTTGATTAAAGTAGGTCAATATAAGATTTGGATGGATTTATATGATATTTTCTTAAATAAAATTAATAAAATTTACACACATATATATATATATATATACATAAATTTTTGATATAATGCATCTCAGTTGAAAGGTCAATACTTTTACATGTATTAAAATTTGAGAATTGCTTTGTGGACATTCCCTCTTTTACTCCATAGACACCCTTCTGTACCACACATCCTTGCATACACACAATAAAAATTTTATTTGCATTAAAAAAATTTATAATAAATCTATAATAAAATATTTTATAAATATTATTAATAAAAAATTTGAAGTAAAGGAAAAAAAACAAAAAAAACAAAAAAAAACAACAACAACACCAAGCATATTAAGAAATAATTTTCTTAAAAACTTAGATGGAATTCTGATGAAAGAGTAATATCAAGTAGTAAATATATATTTTTTTTTATTGGATGCAAGTATTGAAGACAAAAAAACATTTATAAAATATATAAAAACTTATTTTTGAAATAAGGGGCAAGTATAGTGATGAACAATATCATTTTTGGTCTTATTTTGTGCTTAATTTTTTTTATTTGTTTTTTCTATACAAATAAATTACTACATTGCATCAAATAACCAATACAAGGCAAGGTTAAGATAGAATTAAAAAATCTTTGCCTAGATTGTAACTAGATTAGATTATGACTAGATTAGTGACTTAAGATTCTCTATTTTACAATTCAACTAGATGGAATTATCAAAGTTCATGAACTAATTCTATTATTTTTTCATTGTAGTGTATTTTCAAATTTAATACAAAAGACGTTGTTATAGCACTATGTAATATCAATGCATTTGAATCAAATAATTGTCGTGAGGCCATTGTCCGACAGTGCTTAGATTAACTTATTTCATTGAATAAAGCCATAATTTTATAGTCTTTGTTAGATTCTTGTAGTAATACATTCTATTGGCCAATCTTCTTTCTTGAAAGCCATGGCATTACACTTCAACCATAGCTTCTATAGAATTACCCTACAGATGAGGGTCCAAATTAGCTTTACTTTGCTAAACCGTCTTGATAAGTTTTGGTAAATAAACAATGGTACCAATCTAAGGTAAACTTTGGCTATGGAAGAAAGTGGTATTTTTGCAAGTTTTGTATGATGGTAGAGCACCAATTCTAAGTGCATTAGACCTTGTGACAATGCCAAAATCTATAGACAATTTTTTTAGCAATCCAAAGGTAGAACAAACATGAGGTATCAATGGTGGAGCTAATTTTGCCATCAATTTATTAATTATAATTTTCTTATAAAACATGCTCTAGATGAATGCAACCTCTTTTTGGATGCATTTCTTGTGCTATGTGTTCTTCCAATTGAAAGAAATTTTAAATAAAATCTATTTTTTTATTTGATATTCTAAAATTTTATAAATTTTTTAGAATTATTGAACCACATTTTAATATTGATGGTGGTAACTAGCAAAATTGACATGTTACCTAGGCAAAAAAATCTCTCAAGATCAAACTACAGGCTAGAGATGAAACCAAAGTAAAACCACATGTGACATTGTATATTTTTTTTAATTTGCTCTATTTTTTAAATCTTTTGAGGATACATTATAGATTGATAGCTCCTATGATATTCTAGGCATAAGCTTCTTTAGCCTCCTTTTCCATCATAAGCCACTATTAGATATCAAATATTAGTGACAAAATTTGGATGGATCTTATGACTAAAAACATGTCACCTTGAAGGTCCACAATTAAAACAATTATACTATGTTTGCATTATAGCTAAAGATCTTCAAACGACTTACATATCAAGACATAGATAATACATCAATTCATTCAACCCAGACATAGAATTTAGTTCCAATAACAAGAATGTTTTCATATGCAGTCCTAATTGCATTACAAATGTGAGCCCATCTTTATTCCACTTCATCAGCAATTGAAATGTGTGTTGTATAGCAAGTTATAGTAAGAAGTCATGACTAGAAGGTGCCTAATAGTTATAAACTATTCTTAAATTGGATTTATATAGTGATGTAATATGCTTCCTAAAAAACGAAAGTAAAATATTAGATACAAATTCCAAATTATATTATAGTTTTATATTAAAAATGATATCAAATGAAGTAGTTTGATGCCACTTCATGTGAGTAACTATGGATTTGTATACTTTATTTATATGATTCTAATTTTTAGAATTTGAGGTACTTTTGTATTAGTTGACCATGCACCATCTTAGATTTAGCAATCAATTGTTGTCACACTCGAGTTAGAAGCATGAAAAAAAAAAACTTGAAAAAAATTTAGAGATTTAACTCTCTAAGTATGAATGCTTAAAATTTCCACTTAATAAATAATGCCAACATGATGTCATCTAGATTTGTGAAGCTTAAGCCTTTGGATTGTTTCTTATGGATGTGGAGATGCCATGCTATTCAAAGTGAGTCATGATCATGGCCAATTCATAAATAATTTCAAAGCATGTTGTTGACTTCTTCAATAATCTTCTTAAAACCAATCTAAACTCTAATGAAATACCACAAAATTAACATGAAGAATTAATTTACAATAAGTTACCTTCCAACCAAAGAAAACTTAATTAAATTATAATATGCAAGTTTTTGCCACACATAGTTAAAAAGAACCTTATGTATATCATGTAAGGAGCATGCCACACCAAATAGAGCACCAAAGAGTTTGACAATGTTACCTTCTTCTATCTATTTTTAATCATATTTATTTATCTAATAAGCTACTATTTTTGATCAATTGATGACTAATCCAAAGGCTTTGTTAAATGTATCGAGGATCCTTATTAGGTTTATAATTCAATTCCTCTCAATTCTAACTATGAAAGAAGTATTATCAACATATTATAAGATAAGTTGTTGGACTATCAAACTTAGTAGCTAGACCCCTTATATTAAGCTTTGTTCATGAGCTTATCATACTCAAGCATTGAAAACATCTTCCACAATCAAAAATAAAATAAAATAAAATAAAATAGGGAGCCATTGAGCAACTTTGACGTATTCCTCAACTAATTGAAAAAGAGGAGAATTTGAGGAGGAAAGAGGAGATAGCTTATCCATTGATATTAACTATTACGTCTATACTATAGAAGGTGATTATAATCATGTTCAAGAATTCCTTTAGAAAGCCTATTCTAGCAATGGAATGAAGTAATAATTGTCAATTCATCTAATCATAGGCTTAGAAAAAGTCATGTTTTAAAAAAATTATATTTTTCTTGGTCTTATTGATCTATATTAAGGTCTCATGGATGAATAATATTCTATCCAAAATGAATCTATTTTTTGAAAAATACTTTAATTTAGGCTAATGATGCCTTCAAAGAGTTTTTAGAGTTATTTTTGTAATGCTTTGGCTAAGCTTTTATATGTTACATTAAAGAGTATAATAGAGTGTCAATTTCTAAATAATTTTCTATCTTAATCTTTGTGAATCAGCATTATTAGATCTTTGGTAACACTATTTGATAAAGCTTTTTGAAAGATCACCTCTATGATCATATGTAAATAATCTTCTTCTACCATATTTTAAAATTCTAAGAAAAAATTAAAAGCTACTCCATCTAGGCTAACTGCTCGCTCTTTAATCATAGAGCATGTTGCTTCATACAATTCGATTTTATCTATTGGCTACCTTAATATATCTCCCATGAGAGGTATCATGGTAGGAGGCAATGCTCTTAAAATAATAATTTTAGCTATTATCACAACAAGGTCTCTATTTTTGGCCATATATAGGGCCAAGAAGTTATTTTTATATTTAACAATAATTGTTGTATTACCAACAATAGAATGTCCTCGGAATCCACAAAGCTTAAAAATAAAAGATTTCGTTAGTCTTTTTTATGTATTAATAAAAAAATCTTGGGACAGAGAGTTGCTTTTTGACTTCAAACAAGTTTAATTTCTTATGCAATGGCCTTTTAGTTTGCAGGTTTTAATAAAGGTATTCTCTTTGCAGTATTCTTCCATCTCTATTTACAAAAGCTCATTATTTGGATCAATTTGCAAAGCCTCATATGCATTGGTTAGTAGAGCCTAACACTCTCTATCTTGTCAATAGCCAATATTAGTTGTCTTTATACAAAATTCTTTGTATCATCTATTAAACTCATATATCGAGGTAAAAAATGTAGAAGACAATTTCCAACTATTGTCTAGATTCTAGTAATTATGTCTTGCACTATCAGTTTGCTTAAGTATCTTGTATTGATCTTATAGCACTTGTTTTTTTTTTTCTTTGTCTTTGAGCACCACATCCATCTACACATAGAGGTGATAAAAGATGGAGCAATGAACTTAAATAATATATTTTTGTGTTGAGGTATTAAAACACAAAGTTTGACCAATTGAAAATCAATGCTAATTTAGTCTCTCCATGATTTGGCAGCCATCCCTCTATTTATTACTCTACAAATATCTAAATTTTCCATAGAATTTAAACAGATTTTATTAGTTATAGATTCTCTTTGAGTTTCTCCCAATTATTCTTCTTATCATTAAATAAGAGGTAGCTACATTAGGAGGATTTATTATAGGACCACTCTACTATATTACAATCACTATTGATTTATTAGTAGCTATCTATTAATAGATTGGTGACTATTTCTTGTTAAAAGATAATTCTTTTACTTTGATAATTAGAAGCATAAAAATTAAGAATCTCTAAATCTCTACCTAATGGTTTGTTTAGGCGGATCCAAAGTGTTATATTATATATCACAGAATCATGACTAATAACAAGGAGAGAGATTTTATTGGATATAAGAGAGAAAATTCTTCATTATCTTGGTTCCTTCAAACCATCTACATTATATCCAAGAACTACCTCAATTGTCCATTAGTTGTTCTATGGCTAGATGTGCTTATCAACTCATGAGTACGTTCTCCTTACAACTTATATTCTTGAATTAGTACAACATCTACGCCACCTTCAACATTACAAAGGTAGTTTCAAATTCTATCAAATTTACAATAGTTGTTTAACTTGCAGACTTTGAATGTGATAGATATGAGTCCTAAATTAAGAAGTTGTCATGGCTACGACACACTTTTGTTACTTTTGCAAATGGTGGTTGTTGTGAAGTGCCTAGATTCTTATTAATAAAGTATGTTGGACTCTTACTTGGGCTCTGACTCTACAAAGAGATTGATGTAATAAAATTTAAGGTTGAAATCCTATGAATCTTCTTACATTTGTCTCGTGACATAATTTGCATTGTTGGTATATGATTTACGACCAAGCAGGCTTTTTTATTGAATGCTAGACAAACATTAAGGTTGAAGGGAGACAAGTAGCTTTCTTCTCCCATCTTTGGAATTATATTAGTTGTTAGGTTCGATTCCAATACATTGTCAAAAAAATAAGATAGGATATTTATTGAGCACCTTGTGCATTGCTTAGATAGAGGGGAAAAACAAAGGAAGAAGTGGAAGGGGTGGAGGGAAGAAGAAAGAGAATATCAGTATTGCCTTTGACTCCTATGGTTGGTCAATGATTAGGAGAATTTGGCTCTTTTAGATCTAAGGGAATTTATTTCATAAATATTGGTTGACTTATGTCTTCTTCTTCTTATAACTTCTTTGAATTAGGAAGTTGTGATTGTTGCCTCATCAAGAAGAGAGGTGGTCTTGATACAAGTATAGAAGGCATTGGCTAACTTGAGGCCTAAGTATAAGTGCTTAGAAATATGTAGTTCTTAGAGATATGAGGTAGCAATCAATGTAGTTAATATTTTGTAAATGATTAGAAATTTCAATAGAATTTTAAGTTCTTTGGAACTTCCAAAAAAGTTGAGACCTCTATTGGGATGGAATTACATTTTGCAAATTTCCAATTTAGTCCTCAATCTCCAATTCCATTTCCTATCTATTGTTAGTATCAAAGACAATGCAAAAGTAAGGCTTGATAAATAAATTATTGTTGGCATCTAATGCTAGTATCTTATCCAAGTTATTTGTGATTTTTGAAGCCATGCATGAAAATTGCCACAAGCGCCTTCTTAATATAATATAGGTATGGATCAACATACTTCATTTCATATTTGGGTCAAAGTGAGGTATCCATTGTTAAAAGATGTACATGATTTCATCAGCCTTTAAGAGTGAAGATGAACACTAGTAGTTGACATGCCACTTCTTTGCTTAACTATTTTAAATAAAAAATGATGTGACTAACATTATTGCTAGCTACAATAGTTTCATTACCAAGTCTTGCATTTAGAATTGCCAGCCATGTTGCAAACATTGAAGGGGTGGGTTTCTTCCCTAAGAAGGTGCCCACAAGCATGTAGTCTTCTAAGAGTCTCTCTTTGGCTACTACAATGTCATCTAAAACATGTGAACATTTCTTGTCACTCTTGATTAGGAAGCAGGCATTGTTTCTTGTCAAATTGTTCAATAAGCTTTTTCCTAGCCCTCAGTTTGGTAGAATTAAGCATGAGCCCTTTGCATTGTCTCTGTGTTGCATCAATAGATTTATCTCTACTGACATCAACTATGGTTTTATTGCTGCTATTGGTCAAGGTGACAGCCAACAAGTCTATATGGACCACATTGGCATAAGAAAGAGACATTGGATGAATCTAGTAACCTAATCCCAAAATTCCTTGTTTGAGATAAGTGTCCCCTTGGGTGCCAACCAGGTCTTTCCTCTGAGAATAAGTAGTGCAAGATGTTAGTATTGTGTAGTTGGTGATCAAAGCATACACAAGTATGCAATGGCGATCGATCGACTTCGCCAAACAAATATGCATGTCGCACTACATCATTTGTACTTCATCCGCCCGTCGGCCGAGTGATGGTTGCCAGGTAATTGCCTACGATTCAGTGCGCAACTCACCGACGGTCAGCAATGTTCAAATTCGTCAGAAGCAGAGACAGGAGTTAAGGATTCAAGGTTTGAGGTTTATACAAATAAAACGAAAAGTTGTTATTGAATATGTTAACTTTTTAAGCCCTAGAAGCTTAACCTTCCAGATAGGGTTTGAAGGGTTAAGGTTCTAGGGTTTTTTATAACATTTTGATACAAGGTTTCATTAGGATTTTGTGTTTATGTAGTAGCAGGTCGGTTTCGATTCCTTCACGACCCATCCCCACTACTGCGGAAGTTCGGGAGATGGAGACTGAAAACTCTCAGCCATTTATGCTTACCTACCCAAACAGTTTCTTCGGAGTGAGGGCAAGGTGTTGTAGAAAGGCAGCACAACGAATAATGTAACAACGTTCCCACACAAATTCATACATAGCAGATAATCAAGGTGTAATCTATCTTCATCAGAAATCCTGTTTACTAATTACGAGCCAGTGACATGGCTGCTTTCGTGAGTATACAAGGCACATTCAACGATAACGCTACACCTTTCAACTATCAAAAATGAAAACTCGCCTCAAGGAAGACCTGTCATGTCGACAAGACATCAGCATCACAACGGCACCTATCCTTTCTTGTCTGGTCTCGCAACTACCTAAAGCCACGCGAAGGCATATTCCGACATTATTGGTCAAAGTTTTTTCCTAATTGATCACGCTCAGTCTTCTGGAAGTCTCCTTGCATAGGTGATATTCTGTAAACGATCGTGACAAGAGTTCCAGAGATGTAGCAGGTCTTCTAAGCAGTTAAAGAGTACTGACAACCAAGTTTCTAATTGAGGTTGGCCTTTACTCCAGCCATGTGCAAGATCAGGTCCACAACTCGGTTGCTGCAAAACATTCACACAACAGTCAAGACAAAACCACATCTTACCCGTAACCGACACCGCCCAAAAGTACACGATCCACAACACCAGAGATTACACCAAAATTACCTGTAGCCCCACTCGTTGTCATACCACGACACCAGCTTGACAAACTTGTCACTCAAGGCAATTCCTGCCTTGGCATCGAAGATGCTCGACCTGTATCAAGAGTTCAATACCATAAGTATCCCAAACATGACCAATTCAACAAACACAATCTGTCCCATCGAAAATCGACAAAAACCTACCTAGCATCACCAACAAAGTCGTTCGAAACAACATCGTCCTCAGTGTAACCCAGGATGCCGTTCATCGGACCCTCAGAAGCGGCCCTGCAATCATTCGCACAAAACCATGCCTCCCGTTGTCAGTGGCAGCGACTCGTTACCAGCCTCCTCAACCTTGCACGACAACTCTAAACCACTACACTTCAGCACATTTTTACAGAAAAATGCATTCTCAAACAATTCCTCACTTGATGGCTGCCTTGATATCCTCGTATGAGCCACTCTTCTGGAGTCGCACGGTCAGGTCTACCACAGACACATTGGGAGTTGGCACACGGAAAGCCATACCAGTGAGCTTCCCATTCAATTCTGGCAGTACCTTGCCCACAGCCTGCATGAAAATCCCGAGTCACGAAAATTGGGATCAGGCCTATGTTCAGACTTTACAGACAACTCCATTCACAACTTACAGCAGTCCCATCTAACCACCAGGGTCCAAATAATGAGCACAGTACCTTCGCAGCTCCAGTTGAGCTGGGAATAATGTTCTGTCCAGCACCACGTCCTCCACGCCAGTCCTTTCCAGATGGACCGTCCACGGTCTTCTGGGTAGCTGCACACAGAAACCATTTACATCATCATCCAAATTAAGTCTTGCTCAATGTAAAAGCACCCACAAATGACACCCAAACATGCTCAAAGACCTCTAAAGGAACCATCATTACCAGTGGTGGCATGCACAGTGGTCATGAGCCCTTCCTCAATGCCGAAGTTGTCCTGGATAACCTTCGCAAGAGGTGCGAGACAGTTGGTAGTGCAACTGGCATTGGACACCACGTTCATGCTGTCCTTGTATGACTGCTGGTTCACACCCATCACGAACATGGGCGCATCGCCAGAAGGTGCGGAGATCACCACCTTCTTGGCACCACCCTTGAAGTGAGCAGAGGCTTTGTCAACGGCAGTGAAGACACCGGTAGACTCTACCACGAAGTCGGCTCCAACTGATCCCCATGGGATTTCAGCAGGGTCCCTGCGAACAGGTCGAGAGCTTTGTATGAGGACGAATTCATCCAGGGGACATCGCACCAGTTCGCGGAAGCATCAGCCACAACCGAGACCGACAATGTAAGAACACCAAAATATAGGTTTACCTGCATCCGAAGACCTTGATGGTTTGAGAGCCAACTTGCAAAGTATTGTCGTCTACAGCATTCACCTCAGACTTTAGAAGCCCGTGAGTAGAATCGTACTTCAACATGTACGCCTGCAGCACAGATTTACGTATCAATTCACAGTCTCACGAATCCACTTTGACACGACGGTGAAGGGGAACTGAATTGTCGAGATCGAAGATCACCATCATTTACGCCGACCAAAGCAACTTGTTAAAATAGCGTCACGTACCATGTACTTGGTGTCAATGAAGGGATCGTTCACGGCAACGACTTCGACATCGTCCCTGGCGAGGATAACACGGAGAACAAGTCTTCCGATTCTCCCACAACCGTTGATTCCAATTCGAACTTTCTCCTGGCTGCCTGACTCTGGAAACAAAAAAGAATTAAGGACATTCTTGAGTTCGTTGACATTGCAGTTGTAACAAAGGTTTAAAACAACCTCCACTGAACTGGATTACAACAGGTTTTCTTGGGATCATTCTCACTCGTAGTCTTAGTGGGGAACTCAGTCGCTGTGGCCCTCGTTGTACTGCATCTCTGCGCCAACCTGCGTTGGGGGATAATGAGCTATTAAAACCAAGTATATGAAGATGCACAGCTTTCAACTAGTTCAGTTGGTTTCAGCGCGACTCGATCAACGTATTTAACATTAAAGACAAGTTTCTGTAGGAATGACAGACTCAATTTCAGGAAGGACAATACCACGGCGTTAAGAAAAGCATGTACGTAAACACACGGAAGCAGATGACCCCGACTATAGACTCAGTGCCAAAACCTACACTCGAAAGAGTATAGGACACAAAGAAATACTTTCCACGGACTACGTGTCTGATACAATCAGAAGTATAGAAATCCTACCGGCGAACGGGGGCAGCTGACAGCTTCAAGCCCTTCAATGAACCCATGAAAGATCCATCTGCGGAATAAGTGACATTGCTCTTCTGAGCAAACCCCTGCCACAGAGAAGTTACAACCTCACTCAGATTGTCATGCATGGTTTACAATCTCCAATGAATAGGTGGCACGACCGATGCGAATGGATCCCGCGCAGACTGCATGATCATACGGCCATGCTAGATAAAGGAAGACAAACTAGAGGCATATTGGGGACGGATTAAGAATGCCAAGCAAAGCTTCTAAAAAGGGCACCCACGGTATGAGTGTCACTACCAACATTGAGGCTAATAAGTATCCAACAAAGTACAAAAAATATGCACGCATCAAGACCTTAGACGTTAACCATCACAGAAGAGTACATAGGTCAATGCATCCAATATACGGCTTAACAAGACACAATAAGATGCTCGGAGGCTTACCCCTGAGGAGGATATGGAGGCGTCTCCTCTGGTAGAAGAGGAAGCCTGCAGGGAGGAGCTTCCGAGAGCAGCAGAAGACTGGATCATTGTTGCTGAGGCCATCTTAGTCTCTGTTAATCAGCTCTGCAAGTGGCCCACAAAACTATCATCAAAAACATCGACAACGGAAATAATGAGAAAAAATCTATCGGTATCCGCAACCCAAACCAAAACATGACAAAACACTCGAATAAACAACGAAAAGTCCGTAACTAACCCCTGCTCCCATTACAGATCAAACAAGCCGCCTACGTTTCAAGGAAAGCGAACTACGTTACAGCCACATCGCAGACTGCACCACACAAGAATATCCGTGAAGACACCACGAAAAACCGCACACGGCAGCACTGTACAAATCCCGATCGGGCGCTTACCCTGATCAAGCGATCGGTAGAAGGAAGACCAACAGCACGATCGACAGCAGGAACGTAGAGACGGCCGCAGCAAAACGAAGAAAACCACTTTGCCAGGAACGGGAATCGCAGCGCTCTTGAACCCCCGCCCGTAGTCGCCATCGAGGGAGGCCATTGGATGAATGTTTTAATGAAGAATCTCTCGTTCTCATCGGCATCAAGTCCGCTGCGGAATGGAACGCCAACCTCCGTCCAATTCCGGCGAGTTCAGAGCCTCCGCCCGGCCCCGTCGCCTAGGTACCTGGTAGGGTATCAATCTGATACGAACCTACCAGAAGGCTCCATCGCTGGTCGCAACGAGGAGGAAGGTAGGACGAGGGTGGCAGGAGCGATTGTAGGGTTTGTGGACAACTGGGAATCTTTTGGGGTGGCCAGCCGAAACGAGGGGCGCTCCTCCTCCTTGTGACTTAAAATGGACTGCTCCCTGCAATCAATTTTAGGGCTGGGATAAGTCAGAACGGGAGCACCTTCCTTCCTTCCCTTCCTCTGCAGGAATGCCGCATTCTCCCTTTTTCCTGTTGGGGGCTTCATCGTTGGTGGGGGAGGGGGCCGAGGCCCTTTTGAGAGGCCCAAAGAACAACCCTCTTCGAGGTTTTCCTGGGCCTCTTCGTATTTGGCGCCCTCTGATTGGCCCCGACTCCCTAGTCCAGGTGGCATTGGTCCTGTTGGGCAATGGGTGCCGTGCTCGCCACCAGGCCCAGATATGTTTGTCCAAATGGCGTGCACTCCACCAGGGCAATATTTCCTACAGTAGCATAGAATTGGCAATGTAAACTCAACCGTTCATTTCTCTAAGATCTTACAGCCATGGAAATTTTTTGTTGTATAGTTAGTTAGTTAATGTGGTTGTGCGATCTAAATGTCCTCGCTGAAGCATCTCATTTAGTATAAATATTTTTTTCATATTTATCGTTTTGTGCTTGCAGAATTATGTGAATGGGTTCCTTTCTTTAAGTTCCAGATGATACCCTAGATACAAAACTATATTTTTTTATCGCACTTTTGGTGCCATATCATTCACATGACCTTTAAAATACCAACTTTTATTGCCCCCCTACGAAATAAAGTATTTTGAAAAAGTCGTTTAAAATTAGAGGAGTGTCTCACAAAGTAAACCAGATCCCCTGCCACTGACAAAATATGACCTTAAAATAGATGGGACCATAATACTTAAAAAATGCTTTTTTAGTATTTCACTCTCTAGCTCTATATATTTATTTATATATGTATATAATTTGTTTTAAGAATATGTTGTATACTTTTAATAATATTTATCTAAAATTATGATGAATATATATATATATATATATATATATAATCTAAATAATCAACACTATACATATTCTTCTTTTTTATTTTAAATAAATTGCCAATTTTTCTTACTTACTTTATATCTAAGTAATACTATATAAATTATTATGCATGTTGACAATGAAGTTGATAGCAATTTTTACTCAAGTAGTATTTATATCATAAATAAACACTATTTCAACTTAAATTTCTACTATTTTAGTTTAATGTTACTTGTTGTTGTTGTTGTTGTTATTATTATTATCATCTATGGTGTTTAATGTTTCAATTTGGTTTTTAAAGTTTAGAAAAAAAAATCATGGAACTCCTCAATGGTATTTTATTTTATTTTATTTTTTTAAAAAATAAATCATTAAAACAATGGCTTTACTACAAGACAAGCCAAGTACATTTAACTAACTAATATATCTTAGAATGTTAAGGAATCTTATTTGTTTGGTCACAAATAATAAAGATCCTTTTTATCATTACAAGGTTTTATTAATAACATATCTTAGACCCTTCTACTCAAAAGAGGCAAGTCCAATTTGAACATTAAAGAATCTTTTGTCTTATATTCATCAACAAATAAATAAAGTAGTATTATTATATAAACTATCATTCAATATTTTAAGTATCAAGATTATAGATACATACATACATACATATATACATACAAATATATTATGCTTAATTTATAACCATAGTAGATGGAAATTATATAAATTATGCAAGGTTTTATAATTTATGTAGAATCATAAAATTTTATAATACTCAAGTAATCCAAGTAATAATGAAGCATGTTGGCAATGAAGGGTGCATAAGATATGTATGGTAGTGGTAAGAAGTTTTTCATGTTTGCCTCTTTTTATCTCTTTCACATCATGATTGCTCATACATATGGAAGTACCAAGGTGAACAAAGTGTTTGTTACATGCATGTGTTTCTTATTTGTTGAGTTATGACTATGTTCTAATAATGAAAGAAAGAGGCAAAAAGGTGTGTTGAAACTTCATATGGTTGCTAAAAAATAAATTTATATTAGCTTGTGATGCCACAAAAACTAATACCCAAATCATAAACTAATAAAAATTATAAAAAATACATATACATATGCACAAATTGTTGTAAAGAAGTCATTTACTTAGAACTATAAAGCATCGTACTTTACATTGTTTAGCATTTGAACAATTGCAAAATGCAAAATTGGCTTGGAGAAGCTCAAAAAAAGTTATAATGTAGTAGCAGCTTGCATGATTTCTCAATTTGTAACATCACTCAATTCAGCAATGACACAAGCAACTTTAAAAATGACTATGTTTGCTTTGTATTGCATACAACTTTCTGATAAGAATAATTGATTGGCTTGTCTATAGTTTTAGTATTTGAAAACAATTTGGAAATTATCTAGCATTGTGTACAATTAAATCAACTTGATTTGAATTATATATTTTTGCTTGTGATTTAGGATGAGTTGAAAATGGTTTACTCCTTATGAAGGAACAACAAAAAATACAAAAGGATTTATTTCTGTAAATACTCAAATGAATATGACATCAAAAGATCTTACGGTAAAATATGATGCTTCGCAGTCATGGATCAATGACTTATTTACAACATTTTTTGCCTGTGTCCATGTTTTTAATTATTATTTTATGAATTTATAATTTTGATTTTAATTTATGTGGCATCACTAGCAAGAAAGTCTGTCAAAAATTCGTATGGTTGCCAATTTTTTTAACTTAAATTTTAAAAATTTACATTATTTATTTATTTTTTAAATTATGCAAAAAGCAAGGTTGTAAGTTTACATTATGTGAACATCCTCAATTCCATCAAATATCATTAGACAAGCAATAAATATTAGCAAACAGGTATGAATTAAGCATGATACATTTGTGTATATATATATATATATATATATATGTGTGTGTGTGTGTGTGTTATATTTTTTCTTGTTGGAATGATAACATTGTCTATTTAATTTTTTTGTAAAAAATTTATAATTTCATGTATGTATATTCAAAGTACTTATTGACCAAAGAACAAATAACTTACCTCGTTGGCTGCATTTCTATTTGGTGTTTTTTTGTTTTTTTTGTTTTTTTTTGCAAAGAACCTCCAAAAACACTTTATCCTCCAACAAAACAGCAGAAGATAAACGTGCAATATTGTATTCGTATATATTTTTGTATATATGCATACGAATACATAAACGTGCAATACTACAGGGATGCAGGGTCAACCACCAGCATCATGCATAAGCAGTGGCCTAGGATGCCACTTCTTCTGGGACCCAGGATCAACCTCATAATGGACGGGACGGGTGACTTGACCCACTGCAGTCCCCGTTCTTATTCCCCCTTTCTCATGTCAATACCCTCAAATTTGAAACTCAGAGAAAAATAATACCAGAAGTGGGAATAGGGAGTATTATGGGTTAGGAATTAACCCCAGCATGAGGCGTGACATGCTGCTGAAGGTTCTGGAAAGAAGGTCACAGAAGGGAATATACCAATAAGATGCTTTTGTTGGGTAGGGCTGAGGTGGACTGGGTACAGGGGTCTGGTCATTGTCTCTCTGCCAGCGTGGCACCAATCACTCGTGCTCAGCACTCTGATTGCCTCGCCAACTCCACGTCACAGGCGTGAGTCCGTGTCGGTGAGCCCTTAGGTCTCGTTCTCCCTGTGCAAATTCCGTCCCTAGTGGACTAAATTATTCAAGTCCCGATAACCTCTGCGTCCAAGGCGATGATGAGTTGTTCAATCAGTCTCATGTATAATTGATTCTGTGGTGGTGTGAGATTTAGGACTCAGTTTCTTATGCATCTCCCCTGTTTTCCCTTCTCTCGTGGCTTGTTGTTCATCGCAAACAAGATGTAGAATGGATTTCTCTATCGCTGACAGAATCACATTTCCTGAAGATGGCTGGAACGTATTTTCTTTCATTAGGTTGTGTACTGTTGTTAGGGCACTTTGAAACGTGCGTGTACCTTCCGCTGGACTCAGTCGAAAATCTTCGTTTCCATTCGAAAGAATATAATGGAGGTCACGTATCTTTTATGCCAAACCAGGAATCATGTTGGATATTCAGTTCAGTGGAGCTTCTGAGAGAGTCTACGCTTGGTCTTTCTCTCTGAAGAATTGACAGCGGTGTGAGTGCCTTGGACATGCCTTCATTCCACCCACTACACTTCTTTCTGCCTTGCAATTAGTGAAGTTATCGCAATCTACGTAATTTTTTTTCGGCATTCCAACTTCACTTGCAGCTTGTAAAAGACAATCAATAGTCGTCAGTTCCAGATAGAGAGTTTGCAAGTGTTGGAGGCAGCGCTGCTGTAAAAATATCTAAATCATTTCTTCACATGTAATTGCATCGTTGCCCTCGTCGAAAGAGCGTTCACTGATAGTTCCGATAATCCAAAATGCAGTTTCTAACCTAACAGCGGACATTTACTTGCATACATAAATACAAACACTCACCACGATGAAAAACTACCAAGCCATCCGCACCATCGTTGCGATGATAACACACACTGAGGCATCTTCACAAGAAGAACAGCACAGCATACAACAACTGTTACACAAAAATTCAGATAGTTTTTATTGATAACTTCGTCTGGCGCTGGTATCAAAAAGTAGTTAACAAAGGCTCATACATTTGAACACAATTGGCCAGGAAGCTAACATGTATTCACAGTATCAACATATTCTAATAGGTTGCTCTCTAATCTTCCTTGTCACTCTCACTGTCGCTACCGCTATCGCTGGATGATCCTTCTTCGTCAGATTTCTTCGACCTGGAGACACCGCGATCTCCAATGTTAGTGTAACATCATTCCAAACTTCACAGTTGTAATCGTCTAAATTTCTATGACAGCAGGAATAAGAAGTTGAGAAGCACACAAGAACCGACAAACTAAAAATTACAATACAAAAGACGGAACCAACTGACTTACTTCTTGCCCTTCTTGCTCTTCTTTTCCTTCTTCTCCTCGTCTTCGTCATCCTTGTCTTCTTTCTTTTCCTCTGACTTCTCCCCGTCGTCATCCTTCTTCTCCTTGAAGTCTTCGATCTTCTCCTTGACCTTGTCAATCAGCCCCTTATCCTCGTGGTCCTTCTCTTCCTTTTTCTCCTCGGCCTCTTCCTTCTTCTCCTCTGCTTTCTCCTTCAGCTCCTCAACCTTGTCCTCAGCCTTCTCCTTCTTCTCGTCGTGGTGTTCCTTGTGCTCCTTGTCATGGCCATCGCCATGGTGCTCGGCCTTCTCACCAACAAATAGGCCTTTGAACTTATCAAACAGCCCCTTCGACTCATGAACCTGGAGATAGAGATATCATAATGCTACCAAGGTTAGCAGGATAACTATTGACAATGACGACATCCTCTTTCAGCAAACCGGACTTTACATACAAAAGACTGCGGCAAAAGGAATTCGCATTACCTCGCCCTCGAAGTTCAGCTTTAGTTCACCGTGTGGCTTGCCCTTTCGCAGGACGGGGTATGCATGGGACCCAAAGCGAACCTCTGAGACCGGGATTCTGCAGGCATGATGATAATGAACATCAATCTCTTCATTCTAGAACTCCAAGCAGGTAATGCACGACTTTAAGGATATGAATTCCGAGCCTCCAAAGCAATGAGCAGATCGGCATTTTAGAGATCCAGGTTCACGAGCAGAGACTTACACAACGCGGCCAATTTCGTCATCCTTGGCCATGGTATTGTCATTCAAGATCCGGATCAGAATCTCAGTGTCGGTTTGAAGCACTGGGATGGTTAACTTCTCGTTCCATTTTGGGGCAGCAGCTTGATCTATACAAGCACAAGAATCGTGTTGAGCAAGAGCCGAAAGAAGAGTGACTAACCCTAAATAAGAGACGTTTTCAACACACGACTTTACCAGATTCCTAAAGATCAACACAGTGGAGCCACAGGAAATACCTTCGGCGACCTTGGTCTTCCTCTCAGTCTTTCCAACGCTCAAGACCACGTACGGGTCCGACTTTCCTGTAAGAAACGGATGCAATGTCAGATGAGATTCAAGGACGATGTTCTCAAAGATTTAAATGAAAGCGTAGTGTGATGCATGGGATCCGTTCCCACAATCAATCCTAATCTATCGATTAATCTTGTTACTGCATCCTCTAGATGCATTACAGTCGAGGAGAAAGCCTGGCGCAGGTCGGAATGATGGTCATGAACTGTTATCTGAGAACTGCAGCTCATGTGTTGATTAGGGCGATGACGAGAAAAAGTGAATTTCACCAAAACAGAAAGGGATGTACCAATGTATTCGGTGTCCTCGAGTCCGGATGCACTGCAAAGCTCCACAGTCAAGTTCTCAGTAGCCATCTTTATCACGTAATTGCTTATCTGCTTGAACTCTTGTACTGTTCGAATCTGCGAAAAGCACACAAATAATCGAAGATGAAGATCATTACTCTCAACCAGTTCAGTTGAAATTACACAGTTGAAATAGACTAACTACAAGATCAAAGGGCCTCGAAAGTCCGGGATTAATGATGCCAATTCCTCGATCTCGAACACAGCTGACGGTTCCATAGCCGTATCAGCTGTAGCCAGAATCAGAGCATTCCGCATGAATCCAGCCTGCTCACCAGTGATGCGTGAGTGATTTCCTAAACGTATAGGATAGACAAACGTTTGCAAACACCCGCAAGAAGTAAGACCTCTGGTTTTCACTACATCAATATAGACATGGAAGCAAGGAACAATGGATTGCACAATAGTACCTGCAAGGACTAGGAATTGGGATCCGGCACTGGTGACCTAACGATGTCTAAGCAGATGGTTTGATCGACACTTGTTGCACTGTGATGGAGAAGACTGAGTGGCTCAAAATATACTTGTCACAATCCTAGGAACCAGGGAGGCCACGTTGCAATCCCTGAATCAGTCAGCGTGGACAGCATCGAAGGTGATAGTCTATTCTCAGCAATCTTCACATGAATCTCTCTAGTAAAAACGCGTTTTGAAGAGTCGAATGTACCCTTGAGCGGAGGAGTTTCTGAATCTAATCGACTCTATGCATTATTCTATCTGATCTTGTCAGCACGAATGCGTTTACAAGCACAAGTTTTGAAAATCGAAAGTTGTATGAACTGTGATCTATCGCTCCGATCATTTTTCCAGGTAGAGGTGACAACAGGGGTTTATTGGCCAGCACTAAGATTTTTCACGAGGTAACCTTTTAAATTTCTGGGTTTAAGACTTAAGTTTTTGGACTTCTTGCGGTTCCGCGTAGTGGTGTGGGATGCTAAGAAAAAAAAAGGCTGGGTCATCCACTATAAACTCTCCCTCTTCCACATTTTACTCAGATGAATATCTAACTTGCTACTCTACCTCGCTTGGAAATTTGAACGACGATTGAGGATTTCTTCGAACAGTTACTGCACAAAGCAGGTAGTGAACTTTCCATTCTGGGTGATCAGATCTGAACCAGAAGTGATGGAGCTATTTTAAGCTAACAGACGATATAATATCCACCAGTAACTCGTATCTCGACTTTGGTGAAAAAAATATAACCTCCTGTCACGGCATGGTGGGCGAGAGTTGCGTTTGAGGATCAGCGTTCGAATTGTTCAGCCACTTATGATAACCACTATACCGTCCACACACACAGCGCTACACGGTCTGCGATGAATCAATCTAGCGGCGTTGAATGTGGATTAGTAGTGAGAGTTACCCACGTCTGTAAATTAGTGCTCATCAAAGCTTGCTTTCTAAAGCTGAATTTTAATGAATGTGTGATCACATGTGAGGTATTCTGGATCGAGGATTCAGGACGATGCTTACACTTGTGGAAGTGATAAGGGGAAGCCTGGCGGATGTCCACTTGTGCTTGGACCAGGTAAGAATGCCGAACAGGTAAGGTCAGCACTGGCCTTATCGTGGCCTGTAGTCATTCAAGTTTTGGTACAAAATACTCTCAAGTTGCATGAAGTCATTATGGCCTACAGGTGTTCTTGACAGCGCGTTGCAGAGTGCCTTACTGGGTCAAACGTAACAAGAATAATATCAGTTGTTTGCGAAATTTAATTGTAGGACCATGTCAAACAAGAATTCAGGATAAAGGAAACACCTGTCCACAAGCTTCAATGCTGCCGTTTAATACTACAACTTTGTCGCCTTGCCTCGAGGAACGCGGAGACTTACAGCCCGAAAGTGGATTACAGTGCATTCGTTTAGGAAAGTGAGAAACGCAACTGTAACTATTGGGAAAAGCAGACAGAAACGTATATGCTATGCAAATATATATCTCTCTCTCTCTCTCTCTCTCTCTCTCTCTATATATATATATATTGATATTGCACTGATATAACTTGTGTATAAACATTATAGCTGTACTCTGTCGAGAGAGTGAGCCAGCAATTGTTCGGGAGTGTATGATTTGATGCTCTCGTAACTGCACTTAGAACCATATAAGGCTTGCAGATACAAAACAAGCCGAAGAGCAACATACAAGCTCTTTCAGAGTATTTACGCATGCCGATCACGTCACTATGTTGCATGATGAACTACTGCAGAGGGGTATCTGTACAAACTCAGCTCTGATGCTATATCCTGCCCAGTAAAGATTAAAAACATTTACAGAAAATTTAAGATACTCGAGTCCTGAACACTGCCCACCAGCTTTAACAAGACGGGATTGATAGACTGGTGGGATCAGCACTCTGGTAGGCTTGACTCAGTCCTCCTTGGCATGTACCTTCTCTCTCGACGCAAGTGTGGGAGAACTTGGAGCCTTCTCTTCTCCCGATGCCGGCTTTGGCGTGTTTTCGATTTCTGGAGTGAAAGCATCTTGCTCTTGTGGTAGGACTGGCGTGTCTTCGAATGGGAACGCCCTCGGATGATCCCCAGACGCTGGCTCGATGAGGCCCGCGCGCTCGTTGATATCAGCTGCGGCTTGCATAGCTGCTGCCACACCACCTGGGAGAGGCTCCCCTGTCGGTGAACCGCGCATCTCCGCATCCAGCACCTTAGCAGCATCCTCTTGGGTCACAGTTTTGTCTGCTTCTAGATCGATAGTAGCGTCCTGCAATGATCGAAATGAGTCTCCACTCGAAGTTAGATAATCCAGTACCTTCTTCCCTTGCCTTCGCCAAATGCAGATAGATCCAGGCTGTTGGACAGAACCCCTTCCCTTTCCATTTACAACTAATTCTTGTAATTGATCATTCTTTTTAGCACCGCGTCCAACAACAGGAAAACCAGCCAAAACCCTATCAAGGAAATTTCTAGAAGTGCATAGCACTTGAAGCACTATCGCAAGTTAGCAAAGCAGTGCAATCATTAAGAAGACCAGAACAGGGGCAGAGAGCTTTGTGAAGTTTTATGAATGAATGAATGAATGTATGTATGTGTATTTTTTTTCCTGTTTCTTTTACTTAGAAAAAATCTGGCCATCGATGCTAGACCGATGAGGTCACAAGCGCTGTTCTTCTGGTCTATGATATCATCTCCAGCCAAAGCATGAAGAAGAAGAATAAACACCGTGAGACTAGGAAGTTCCATATATTTGACAAACGGTATCTTTCTAGCGTGAACGCTGGGAGCCGGTGGTGGCATGCTGAGAAACATACCATGAGAATATCTGCTAAGGTAGTTTTGTCAGCGTTCGGAACCCTGGGGTTTAGTTCAGCCGCCGACATTGCAGCTGCGGCTAAACTACCGGCAGTTGGAGGTGCTCCGGTTGCCCTCGCCACGGCGCTTTGGATGGCGCGGGCGTCACTATCCTCTACGGGCCTCTGTCCTGATCCCACTGCTGCTGCCTCCAAAGCCTGTGACAATTGAGTGTTCGCAGGCACATGTTAAGCCTCGTCATTCCATGCATTCAATTGGTATCTGTGTGAGAGATCGTAAGGAACATGGTAGTGAGGTAGAAGATAAACTCACATCTCCTATTGTGACAGCATCTTGGGCTACAAGGAAAGGATCAACAGGCGTTGGTTTGACATTCGCAATCACTGGTTGGCCCGCAATGTACTCCACATCAATCTCTGCACCTGAGAAGACATGAATTTGCAGCCAAAATTAGCAACTCAACACGCTTCTAATGCAAAAACATGTGAATGAACATGCATCTACGTAAGGAAAACGATTGGGATGACAATGCTTCAAGATTTTCAGAGTTTAGTGCCTCGTGAAAGTTGGGGGCATAAAATTGCAGTGGTTGAGGAAACAAACGCGAAGGCGAATAGCATACACCAAGTCGATCACATTATCATGGAAATAATTGTACATACCAGGGACAAGGATCTCCTGCGCCATGACGCCCTTCTCGGCCACCTGCGAGTGAGCGTCTTTCTCCACAAACCCCGCTTTCACATTCAGCTCTGCAGCAGCTTGCATAACCGAAGCAGCTCCGTCCTTCTGCGTCTGCCCGAACGTCCTCGCCTCCGCACTCTGCATGAGCGCTGCATCTTCGGGCAACACAGAATCGGAACCCAACTTCCCTACAGCGCCAAAGATGTTGCCATATGTGATCGGCTTCTGCAGAAGACTCGCGTCCTCATTCATCTTACTCATCTGCTCTCTCTCCGTCGCCATGCTCAAAACCTAACCTACGAGGACACCCCGGACTTTAGACTACAGTTGGGTACAATACCCCAAGTCAATCTGCGAAATATTCACGCCGTCCACGAAACAAAAAATTTGGCAACGCTAAGCAGAGATCGTCCCAAGCGGTTCCTTGCACTTTGTTGAGCTGGCTAAAACCGAGCAGATTTATGGATGTAATGGAGGGAAAGTGCATGTGTATCCTTGAGCAAGCATTCAATCCACGCGAAAATCTCACAATGAGGAACGTGACGCAGCAGCACTCAGCAGCAGGATCTGCCGACACCTGCCGGGACGAGAGTGCAGCAAGTGGCGGGACGCGCTATCAGCTACCCCGGCACACGTTCAATACTGAGGATCATGAACAGTACATGAGATTTCAATTGGGTCTACCCTGGTTTGGCTTAGTTTGGTTTGGCTTTTCACTTCATAGCATTGCATAGCTTCGGAGGGTGGTGGGAGCCAGGCCGAGCGTGGGGACCACAATGACGTCGACATGCCATAGCCTGCCTGGGCCACTAAGATATGGTCGAGGTAGATAGCGTTATTATTGGGCACCATTGCATCGCAGATCATTATGGGCCTTGGACTCATTCCACTGGTGCCCACTCCTCTGATAACGAAATTCAACTGCAGTTGCCCACCAGTTCCTTCCTGCATAACACCCAATTCGGCACAGACGAATTTGGAATGGGTTGTAGAAGATAGATTTATAGAGTATTCTACTCTATGGTGTAGCGGGTGCCAGTGTGTTTGAGTAGCTGTAGTATAGTGGTGAAAATTTTATGATGCGGCCGTGGAGTCCTCGGCTCGAATCCTAGCAGCTATACTATGATGCAATCATATTAACCTTTTCCAGGATCCTGTTTGCTTCAGACTGCTATATTAAAATGTTTGACGTTAAAATTATGATAAATCGCAAGAAGAAATTAAAATATCCTGAAATTGACAACATACTTCATGTTTTTGTTACTTGACTTGGTGAAGTAGAGTTGAAAATGGATTTTTTTTATTATTTTTGGAACATTAACTGTTAAGTATTAGCAAATTCACAGTCAAAGGTTGGTGTTTTGGCATCTTAAAATACATGTGTGAAACAAAACATTAAAAACAAATGAAATGACAAGATTATGCAAGAGATTTATTGTTTCAAATAAACATACTTGTACTTAATTTTTTTTTAACTTGTCAAAGATAGTTGTATTGAATGATGGATAAGAAGACATTTTATTAATGAGTATCTTGTTAAAATAGAATATTACTATTAGAACATGTTTGACTTGTATTCTATTAGCATGATAAAATAGAAGATAGTCATGATATTAAAAAGAATTGTTTATAATTCAAAAAAGAGCAAAAGATTTAGAAGATTGAAGAGAGAGAACCTTAGTGGCATAAATATAGCCTTCCAAAAATATGCCAAACCAAGGCTCTAAGCAAAACTAACATCAATAATCAATGATATTATTATTATTATTATTATTATTTTTTATTTCTACTCATCTTTGTTATAATGAAACCTCTAACTATTGTATGCTTGAAGTTGCACTACTCTATTCTCATGTTTACTTTATTGTGAGTTTGCTTTTTTATTTATTTTATTAAATTGAAGTATTATCTTTGGTTTTTATAAGTTTATTAATAGATAGTAAATCACCTAATATCTTATTAGTGATTAAGATAATACTAATTTGACATGACATTACTATGAATATATAAATAATAATAATAATAATATATAATTTATCCTATTAATTTTACATGTAAGAAAATTTTAGAAGTTGTAATTATTTTTACTAAATTATTATTATTTTTGCAACATCTTTTCTTAAATCCATATTTTTAAATACTATTTTTCTATAAGTTAAAATTCCTAAGTTATTAAAATTATAAAAAAATAATTAGAAGTAACAAGTATAATATTACAAACAAATAAAAAAACATGATGTAATCAATACAAGCTATGCACTTGTTTTATTTACTACTTCAAGTGGTTTATAGAAACATAATTGTATTTACTAAAGAATCAAAAGTTTACTATATATGAAAATTTGGTGGTATCAGTTGTTAGTTTTGAGGATTTAGCAACCAACTACAACTTGTAATTGAAGTTCAATCTTAAAGTTATTTAAGTCAAACAAATCAAGTTATGTTATTTAAAAGATTATTTTGTAGACCCAGCCTTTTTTGGTTATTTAATCTACCTCAACATGCTATCCAAATTGTAAATACCAACAAAATTTCACTTACCAAAACACAATTCAAAACACATAAAATATACTAAAATCACCTATTATTTTGGAAGACAATGTATGTAGCTCATAGAAAAAAAAAAAAAAAATTAGATTATAATACAATATCAAATATATAAGAGATCAAAACTTATAAGATTGGTTATAGAAAAAAACAAATTAAAGAAAAATATTAAAATTTATTGTATTGTGGTATTATTAAGCTTCATAAATTTCTTATGAAGTTTAGTAATTGATGTGAAAGATAAACAAAGTACAATGTAAGTTTTTATTTATACAACTTTTAACAAGATATTTTTTAGTATCATAAAAGAATACCAATTTATTATGATTTAGAGTATTATGTAAGGTATATATATATATATATATATATATATATATATATAAATTTAAATTTAAATTTTTTTGAATTTTTTTTAAAATTTTTTTTGGAAAATTTAAAAAGTTAAAAGTTAATTATTTGTATTTATTATTACTAAAAGAGGCTGTAAAGTGCCATTTATTAAGACAAATATCTCTCTCTCTCTCTCTCTCTCTCTCTCTCTTTGTGTATATATATATATATATATATATATCTAAATCTATTATTATATATAATAATAAAATAAACTATTAATAAGAGAGTTTAATATTTTTTAAATTGTATAAAAATTACTAATATTATTAACTTGGTTAATTTTTAATACATCAATAGAATGCATATAAAAATGAAATAAAATAATATTTATTATATTATATAAAATTGTTTTATAAAATATAGTCTTAATAGATATTTTCTTTATATAAAATTAAAATGTTTTAAAAAAATTTATTTTCTCACAAAAACATCTCAACTAGAATACAATTTTCTTTGAATTAGTGGAGTTTCTATAAATGCTTTTAAAATAAGATATTGTGTTTTGGTTTTTCAAAGACTTCAAATATTATTAAAAAAATTGAAATTTCGACTAAAATAAAAATCATAGCTTTTTAAAAATGAAGTGGTAATTTAGTTTTTTAAAAATTATTACAAAAATATATTCTTCTTTCTTGTTTGCCTTAAGAAATTTGACATAAATCACATTGTAAAAATTATCCAAATTTAAATTTAAAATAGTAAAATAATAATAAAAAACGATGAAAAATAAACTAATAATAAAAAGATGAGAATTAAATAAAAAATCTAAAATAGAATTGTTATTTGATATGAAATTATATGCTTGCTATGATAGATGAATATAGACTATGTATTGTATATTAATTAAGAAAATTTAGATTAATTTTAAAATAAATAGGATAAATAAATAAATAAATAAATAAATAAATAAATAAATAAATTTATATATATATATATATTAATTTTAATAAAATTTATAAAAAATAAAGAGTCTTCTTGGCTTGATATTCTTGCTAATATATATATATATATATATATATATATATATATATATATATATATATTTGTTTTTATGTAGTATTTTAAAAGAATTTAAAATTTGTTTAATATAAATTCTGGTATTTTTATTTTTAATTATAAAGAAAATAGAATAAAAATTAAGATTATATTATTTGGTATAATTTTTTTTAATATTGATTAAAAATTATTTAGTGCAAAATATTATAAATTATAATTTTAAAGATCTAAGTTTCTTAAAGTTATTACAAATAAACTTTAAATTATATTTATAAAAAATAAGGCTTAATTAATAAAAAATCTATTTTTTAAATTATTTTGATAGTTAGATTTTGTTATTAGTTTTTAAATTTTTTTTTAAAAAGATTTATTGTACTAATAAACATATTTTAAAAAAATTATTTCAATGTTATGATTATAGATTATACTTAATATTTATAAAGTGAAGAAAAAACTTAAGTTTTTTTTTCAAGATAGTCATTCTTGCATGTTTATCTGAGATTTTTGGTGCCTCATATTATAAATACTTATTACCACTAATCTTGAATTCTTAAAGTTTAAGATTAGAAGTATTATATTTATTATTTGTTTATACCAAATTGTCTTTGCATTGATTTATTTAAAAAATCCTTAAAACAATTAGCACGGTCCCTTAAAAATACTTTAATTAATAATACTCTATTTAAAATCAATTTCTAGATTATTTAAATCTACTATTTCTTTTAGTCATTCCTTCATTGCAAATAGGAATATAGATTTTTTACCCTTTAAGAATTAATGAAAGTTATAACATGCAAGAGATGCATATGTATAAAAGCAATAATCTATTCTTTATTACACAACCTTAAATTCTATCCTCAATAATTGCTTGATAATAATTTATATTTATACAAATCATTCTTAATTATTATAATCACTCTTTCAATAAATCTATTGTTCTTCAAGTGATTTCTATGTGTTTTTTTAGTAATGAGAACTTCAATATAAAACACTTTATAATGATCTGATGAGCATCCTAGCAAAGACTTTAAAGTTGAAAAATTATATAGCTAGTGGCTTTAAAAAATTTGTGAAAAAATTACCAAATAAAGATACTTATTGAAAAATTTGAATATATTATGAATATATTTGGCATCTTGAAATATGGTCCATGAATAGACTAGCAAAATCAAGACTTCGCTTTAAATCTAATTTCTTAATTGGTAATTATAATTCCATTTTATATCCAATTTCTTAATTGCTAATTACATTTTTTACAGACACAAAGTATTCAAAATCACTGCAAAAACTTACATCTATTGTTTCTTGTTGCATGTCTATCCACCAATATTAACTAAACAAAATCAAATATGTATGCTACATTCCAAAATGCTTTAAGTGTTAATGAACTTGCTATGATATCTAGACATGACAATTAGAAATAATTGTTTATACCTTTTTGGAATGTATGCTCATGTATGAGTAAGCCAAAATTGGATGTAGTAAACAATTTTATATTTGGTGTGTTTGAATTGTAGTCGTGAGATTGAACATATAAGAAAGATAGGTTTGCAATGGAGTATTTCACAAAATAGGATGCAATCAACAATACAAGCCAAGTTTAGGATTTAGATTTAGTGCAAACCAGGTTTAGGGTTTGCACTAGAATTTGCAAAGGAGGGTATTCTAGTGCAAAGTGCAAAAGATATAATGAAGTGATCTAGTAAGATTCAATGCTAATGCTTGAAGAGTTGTTTCTTTGATATCACATTTTGACGTGTTATAAA